ACCCACCTGGGATACCTGTAAGAAGCTCCTGACACTTGACTTCACATTAGATCAGTTCCAGTCAGTGCAGACACATGATGAGTGAACCATTGAAGAGATCCTCTCTGTCTCTCCTACTCTCTTTATATCTGACTTTCCAATAAAGATAAATATAATCTTTTAAAAAAATTCCTCCAACTAATCATAGCCAATGAAAAAAACAACGTAAAATTCACACGGCCAAGCTCTTCTTGACTTATTAGACCTCACCCTGTGATATATAATCAAATGGCTTTTGATTTTAGTCAAAAGTCTTACAAGTTTGTTTTTAATGCACTGATAAATTACTGTAGCACTCTCATAAGCCAATCGTGAGAGTGAAGAGAGAGGTACTGAGATAACAGAAGGAATGACATCAGGATCCAGGCCATCTACCTCTGTACCTTCCATTCTGCCTATTTGCACCAGCATATGCTTCTTCTACGTAAGAAGTGACAATGCTTTAACTCCCTGACATAACTGTTCAATTTGATGGAACCCAGTTCATGATGGACAGTGCTAGCTACAGTCGTTTAATGTTCCTTAGTCAGTTGCTCTGTCACTAGCACAGCCTAGTAACAGGACAAGAACTGTTACCTCACAACATATTCTTTCCATTCAACAAACTGTCTAAGCTTAACCAAGAACCCCAAAAATGCACATTGATTCTCCTTCAAAAGCTTTACAAAAATGTGCTAACACTGATATCTCCAGCACCTTAGAGTCTGCTGGGACAGAAGACCAATGCAGCCACGCTGTTAATATAATGATCCAGAACAGCTACACAATGGCCAACATGACATTTATTCACAGACCCCAGGGTTTCCTACTCTAACGCAAGAGAGGCACGATAGTGAATGATCCAGGCTATACAAGGATCAGATTATTGTCCTAAGTATTCTCTAAAACCCTAGAGTCTAAAGATTCTCTGTTACTACAGTGTGATTCATCTCAGAGACTGAATTAAAGGAAAAGGAGGAAACTGAGAACTTCGAGAAGTGGGGTCCTGGGTCAGGTGTTGTGGAACAGCAGCTTAAGCCATTGCTTACCGCACACATATCTCATAGGGAAGTGCATAGTTTGAGACCTGCCTCCACTTCCCATGCAGCTTCCCAAGAGTACACACCTCAGAAGACAGCAGGTGATGGTTCAAGTAATTCAGGCCATGAAAGCCATATGGGAAAAACTCCATCTGGCTCTCCAGCTTCTGTGGGCATTGGGGCGTGGGATGGGAGATGCACAAAGAGTTGAAACAGTAGATGAAAGGTCTATCTATCTATCTATCTATCTGTCTATCTATCTATCTGTCTATCTATCCCATGTGCCCACCCTCTCTCCTACAAAGACACAAGTCAATGTTGGAAACCCTGCAGTCACTGATGGGAAGAGGAGAGACATTGTCCCTTCTCTTCCCAGCTGACAGAGCAGTCAATGGCCTTTGTACCCACCACAGTGATGACTCTTGCTGGTGTATTTCCTCTAGCTATTCCCCTGACCCTTACCATAGTTAGTATCTAATTAATTACCTGTGGGCTGTGGAACCCTAGAGTCTTAACAGAAGTAATGAGCTCTTTCTCCCAATGGGACGCAAGTCCTGGAACCCTTCCCTCCACCATCCTTCCAGGTCAACTTTGAAGCCCTCTGGAGCCCCTATAACAGAAGCAAACATCCTCCCAGAAAGGGGGAGAAGGCTAGTGACAAAGGCTTTCCCAGCAAAAGGTATCTGTGATCACTGTCAGCCTCATTTTCCCTGCAGACGTGGAGGGCACAGGCATCTGGGTGGCACACAGGCTCAAACAGCAGCTCAGATGCTTACTAGCCATGTCACCTTGCCACATTATTTCAGTTTTCATTGATTCGTTTCTTCATAGTGAAAGAAAATATTATAAGGCATGGGGTAGTGAGGGACAATCAGAACTCTGCTGGTAAAGGCACAGTAAGTTCTACTGGGGAAAGGCAGTAATAATGTTGATAATGTTTCCTGGACCTATTCCTGCCATGTCTGATTCAAGCTACTAATGATTTAATAATTCTCATAAACTTTTTAAAATGTAATAATCATACATGCATGTGTTTATAACTGGATGGCAAGCATTAGCAGTCACTATCACCAGAAAACAAACTGCCCACTCAAGACTGCCCAGTCCTCTTTGCCGATGTTTTGTTCTTGCCCAAGTAGAAACTGTGCACTAATTAAGAGTTTGTCTTAAGGGAAAGCCGGCATCAGCAAAGATTTTCTGTCACTACTGGTGAGTACAACACTTGCTTACATTGTATTATGTAGTACAGTTTTATAGGCGCTGGGGATTCCCCCCACCCCTCCCATAACCCTCCCCCCATGGTGGATTCCTCCACCTTGTTGCATAACCATAGTTCAAGTTCAGTTGAGATTCATTGCTTGCAAACACATGCCTAGCATAAAGTTCAGCGTCTTATTGTCCAGATAAGTTCAGTGGCCTCTTGGGGAGACCTTCTATGGTCTGAAGATAGGTCTAACAGAGTAGAGATCCGGTCAGTTAAAAGCCCCAACAAGGCCTCAGTGTCAATATACAACATTATGGAATTAATTGACATAGTAATGGGTAGACAATATGTTAAAAATAATGCAAGTTCCATTCTTTGAAACATCTGGGTTGAGACAGTATCAATGACAGGTTCAGAAAATAACCAACAACCAAACAAAAAATTACAGGTTAAATCAAGGCAAACATGTGGTATCTAATCTTTTGGGATTCACTCATTTCCCTTAGCATTATAGTTTCCAGTTGTAACACTTGGCTTTCTATGAGATATCAATTTCCAGTTAATTGTTGAAGACTCATAGGTCCTCAAAATTAGAGAAGCTTCAGAGTTAAACAGACTGCATAGTCCTAGTACTTGCTAGGTAGATGGTCCCAGACAAATTTACTCATGTTCTCTGAGATTCTTTATTATCTGGTAAAACTTGAAGCTCTTTCTTACAGAGTTGCCGTGAGGACCAGATGCACAGAGACTCAGTGAGCATGCTGTTTGCCACACAGCACATTCTCAGCAAATGGTAGCTACTGCCACCAATTGCAGGCAGAGATCACTGGACCATCATAAACCTCTTCCCCTCTCCTAGCACAATGTTGATACCTTGGGGATCAAAGAATGAAAAGGTGCACACACCAAAGAAGGAATATGTCAGAAAGAAGTGGACTAGGAGAAAAGGTTAAGCAAAGAGTGGGACATTTCTGATCAAAAGAGGGAAAGAGGCAGAATCACAAAGGAAGACATACTCTAAAGAGATTCAGAAATAAGAGGAAGGGAGTGAAATGCCAGGAGAACTGAAACAAACATGCAGAATGACAACTGATAGATGAATAGGAAACAGCTTGTTTTCCTTTGTTAAGGCTACATACAAAGAAATCATTTCAATAAGAAAACAAAGGAGGAGATGATGACTAATGGGCATGGGGTTTCTTTTGGGGTCATGAAATGCTCTACTTGCTAGGTTTCTTGCACCCCTTGTGAATAGATCTGGCATATAAAATGATGGTTTAATGATATTAAATCACCTCAAAAATAGAATAAATGAGTAATCAATTAAAATTGAGAATGGAGGTTATGTCTTGGGGTTGGAAATTAAGACTTTAGGATGGAGGTAGAATGGGATATACAGGATGTAGGGTGGGATATACAGGGGCTTCTAAAATGCTTGAAACTTTTGCACAGTTCCTTCACTAGCATTAGAAAATGCCAGATATTCTTTAAACTAGACATTTCAATATGTAGCAGTAGTTTTTAGATTAAAGAAACTGTCTACTAAGCAAGAAAGATGAGAACAACAGGAGGGAAGAAAAGAAGGCAAATGCAGAAAGTTTGGCAGAAACGAGGGACATGGTGGAATGTAAACACAGATGGGGAACCTGTGGTAGGAACATACTCATGTCACCCCACAACCTCCCCTGGCACTTCACCAGGAGCCCCACACCTGCCTCACCCACACCTCTCTCTAACGTCTTCTAAGACAACAGAACCATAAGTTCCTATCTCTCAGCTGCCAGAGTGGTTGCAGCCTCTCACTGCCATCGCTGAGCTGAACTCACTACCCTGCACTTCTCTTATAGGAAAAAAAAAAAAAAAAGGAAGAAATAGCCAGTGACTTCCTCTGGCCAGCTTGTCCTAATGCATCCAAGCAAACTGCATCTTTACCTTACAGGTATTCCCTCTCACTGGCCCAGCTCACTGGGGCTGCTGGTCTTTAGCGTGTGGCATTTGGGGGCAATGTTCTCTTGAACTCAACAGGAATTTCAACATTCATAGGACAATCTCACCACTTACCTTGAAGGTGCTTACATCAGGACAGAGTATGTGCACTAGTTGCCACAAGCAGGACAACTGGTCTATTGGCGGCTTGCTAAAGAAGAGAGGTGAAGATGATAAAAATCAATTTCTCCATGAGTAAAGAGGTCTCTTGAAGCAAAACAAAATCTCTTTCCAAAGATAAAACATGTCACCTCAAACTCCCACTCAGAATGAATGAAAGGTAAGGAGTTCAACAGACTGCATCCAGCTCAGAGAGGAACAGCCAATCCCACAATGTGTGATCAGAAAACCCATCCAACATATGTCACTTTGCAGGCTCCTCCAACACATCAGAGCTAGCCTAGCAGTCAAGAGAGTGCTGTGCAGTCATTTCTGCTGAATGAATGAATGAATGAATGAATGAATGTGTTCCGTCCATCTCTTTCGCCCTACACCAGGGAATCAGGCACCCTATGAGGTGTCATCTGTTGTCCAGCATGTTTTGCTTTCCTCCTTCTGACCAGATGTTTGACCAGAAGGCACAGAAGAAGAGGAGCTGCTGGATGCTGATGTGCCTGGGAATCAGGGCTAAAATGACCAGAGACAGAAGGGAAATGTCCACCTGAAACAACACCCCAGAGAGGCTTTGCAGCTTGTTGAATCACACTGGCTTGACAGCCTCAGCCCTCCTGCATCTTCACAGGAGCCACACCATGGGCAACCAGACCTCCCCAGAAGGCTTCATCCTTCTGGGCTTCTCTGGACACCCGGAACTAGAAAAGATCCTCTTCGTGGTTGTCTTGCTTTCCTACCTTCCAGCCCTGGTGGGCAACACGCTCATCATCCTGCTGTCTGTGCTGGACCCCAGGCTCAGCTCTCCCATGTACTTCTTCCTCTGTAACCTCGCCTTCCTGGACCTCTGCTTCACCACAAGCTGTGTCCCCCAGATGCTGGTCAACCTCTGGGGTCCAGACAAAACCATCAGCTTCCTGGGATGCTCGGTACAGCTCTTTGTCTTTCTGTCCCTGGGGACTACCGAGTGCATCCTGCTGGCTGTGATGGCCTTTGACCGCTATGTGGCTGTGTGCCAGCCCCTCCACTATGCCACCATCATCCATCCTCGCCTGTGCCGGCAGCTGGCCTCCGTGGCCTGGGTCACTGGACTGGTGGAGTCATTGGTTCAAACCCCACCTACCCTCCGTCTGCCCTTCTGTCCCCACCGGCAGGTGGATGACTTTGTGTGTGAGGTCCCAGCTCTAATTCGACTCTCCTGTGGAGATACCACCTACAATGAGATTCAGATGGCAGTGGCCAGTGTCATCATCTTAGTTGTGCCTCTCAGCCTCATCCTTGTCTCTTATGGCGCCATTGCCCGAGCAGTGCTGAGAATTAGCTCTGCAAAGGGCCAGAGGAAAGCTTTTGGAACCTGCTCCTCCCATCTCCTGGTTGTCACTCTCTTTTACAGTTCTGTCATTGCCGTCTATCTCCAGCCCAAAAACCCCTACGCCCGGGACAGGGGCAAGTTCTTTGGCCTCTTCTATGCCGTGGGCACTCCTTCCCTCAACCCTCTCATATACACCCTGAGGAACAAGGAGGTAAAGAGTGCACTCAGGAGGTTAGTGGGGAATGATGTGGAGGTCAGGGAAACCTGAGAGAGCATCGCTTGGTGTGCATTCAGACCAGGAGACTCTACATGCTTTCATCATCTCATCTATGAGCTTGAATTCTACATCCCCACTTCTGGTTTTCCTGATACATCTGCACCAGTCTTCATCTCCCTCATGCTGTTCCCTGATTTTACCCTTCCCACCCCTAACTCCCCATCTCAAGTCACAGGGTCACTGATGCTTCACCTCCAGTTCTAATTATTAACAGGTTCTCTTTGCTCTCGTGTTTCCCTTCCCCCTTACTTTGATACTTGGTTTGTGTTTTCTATTTTCTGTCTCAAATATCAGCAAGAGAGAAGCCGAGTTTCATAAACTCATCTGTAGTACTGTGTTAGAACTCAACTCCATGGGGCCAGTGCAGTAGGTTAACCCTTCACCTTCAAGTGTCAGGATCCCAAAGAAGCATCAGTTTGAGTCTTAGCTGCTTCACTTTCCATCCAGCTCCCTCTTTCTGGTCTAGAAAACAGCAGAGAATGCCCAAAAGCTTGGGCCCCAGAAGCTCCTGGCTCTTCGCTTCAGATTAGCTCAGCTGCAGTCATTATAGCCATTTTGGGAGTGAGCCAGCAGATGGAAGATCTTTATCTCTGTCTTTCCCTCTCTGGAAATTTCCCTTTCCAAAAAAAATAAATAAATCTTTAAAAAAAAAAAAACACTCAAATGTAGTCTATTACTTCCTGTCAGGCAGTGCTCAAATAAATACATGCTCCTCCTTTCACGCCATAAGCAAGCATTCCAATGCTGCCAGTGAAGGCAGAATAAACCCTTAAGGATTTTTTTAAGCCAGAACATTTCAATCCTTCACTCCTTATTTCTTCTGTTAGAATGCCCACAAATAACAGCTCAGAAAGGGAAATGTCTCAATCAATTAAAGCCTAAGATTTCAGTTCTATGACTATTTCAATAATTAACATTTACTTCAAAGTTATCATAAATGCTGTATTTATTCATTGCTCAGCCTGTATATATAGGTGTCATATATGAGACAACATGACCTAAGGGTTAATGTTTGGGCCTTCAGGATAATTTTGATGATGCGTCTTTGGTGCCATCTATTGGCCATATGTGGTATCATTCATGCACTCCACTATCCCCCCGCCCTGCAACACCTGACCCACACTCCTCCAGGGTCATCAGTACAGACCCTACTCTTCTCAGATAACTGTCATTACCATTATTATTGCTGCACACTAATTATTATTCTAGATGCCATTTAGAGTAACTTACTTACAAGGCTCATTTAATCTTTACAATAATACTAGGATGCAGATAATAGTATTCATCTATTATTAACCTTTTTCAGAGGCCGACGCTAAGATGTCATTAGCAGCTTGCAAATGTCCAGGCCAGAATTTGAGTTGTTGCCTTTTAACACAAACAATGCTTCTCCAGCCCAAAGGAGACACACCGGCTTCTTAAGAAATCCCTCCTATGTAGGCATACATCAGACCTGGTCCCCCAACTGCCCTCAAGTAGGAATCGTTCAAATCCTTCAAAACATCCACAGGAGCAGGAAGCTCCTTGGAAGGAGCCTTGATACCATTTATGGAGTGTCTCCAGGCTTCATTCCTCCCCCGACCCGCCCTGACACTAGAGTGAGGAGCCCAGAAACTCAGAAAACTGACACGCAGTTCTATAAATGGGTAAGCTGATTAATTAGCAAGTCAATCTTACTCTCCAAAGAACATGTAAATGTTTCTGGGGTCCCCAGCCCACAAAAGCAGTCTCCGAGCTCTTCCATAGCATATTGTCTTTGGGAACATGCTGATAACACAAGAAAAAGGAAAAATCCTAGGATTCTTTCTATTCCCTACATCAAATGACTTTGGTTTTTGACACCCACCCTGGCACCAGCCCACAACAGCGGCTTTATTGTGTCTTAATCCTAATCTTCATCCTGGTTACCTCTGTGTTAATCTTGCTGCTTCTTCAGTCTCACTGATTTAATGCAAAGCCCCCACTCTCAGCCCCAGCATCAAGGCTAACCTTAATGCCCCTTGTCAAATCATTGTTCTAATATTTTTCTCTCATTGAGACCTAGAAACCTCTAATGTCCTTCATATTTTCACCCCCTTCCCCTCAAGCCTAGAAGCCCTAATGTGTGTATGTACAGCCAAACCATTTACAGACAGTAGGGGAGAAACAACAGAGAGTTAGATGAAGCAATTTATAAGATTGTTAAAGCCCATTTGTTGAACAAATTATTTCACATAGATCTTAAGACTCACATCTCTTATCCCAAAGTCCTTCAATCTTTGATCTCCATGCACTTATCTACTAGACACTCAAGGAGAAAATCCAACATGAGGTCACGTAGTCACAGCCCTCAGGGTGTTCAAAAGGGAGTCACAGCCGTGTTTCCAGCACACGGAAGAGCTGCATACCTGATGTGGGGGCAAATCAAATCGGGGACCAAAGAAACACAAAACGAGAGGAAAGCCTGTGAGAGCTCAGGGAGGGGAAGAAAAGGCTTCCTAGAGCTTCGGGCCATAGCCCAGGAAAGCCAAATATTTACTGACTTATGTCTGGTTGAGGCTGAAGGCAGGACTAATCACAGACTAAGATGGGGAGGTGTGGGGAGAAGCCGAAACATGAAGGAAAGTGCAGTTTATTTGAGAATCATACAGAAGCTACTGAACTATACACAAGGATGTTCCAGTCTCACCCATCCACCTGATAAAACACTAGAGTTCAAGCCTACACCCGAACCTCATTCAAGAGCCTCGGGTTTAGTTACTCATTCCAGTGTGGGTGTTAGCTCCCAGTTGAAGGGCTCTGAGTCACAAACGGATCCTAAACCAAGAGCCCAGAAGTCAGCCCTTGGGGTCCACCAGCTTCTCTAGTAAAGACATAATTTTGAGCTCATTGCTGCAGAGAGCCACTAGTCCAGGAAGGTTATCAGGACAGGGCAATTTCTGTTTTATAAATAATATATTCAGGGGTTGGTATGATAAAAGCAGCAGAGGATGGCCCAAGGGCTTGGGACCTTGCACTTGTGTGGGAGACCCAAAAGAAGCTCCTGGCTCCTGCCCTCAGATTGGCTCAGGTCTGGCTACTGTGGCCATTTGGGGAGTGAATCAGTAGATGGAAGCTCTGTCTGTCCTCCTCCTTCCCAATAAAAATAAATCTTTTTTAAAAATACATTTGGAAAGCTAGAACTTAACCATGGACAGTACCCATTGAAATCTACAGAACAAATCTCACCAACCAAGCTTTGCTTACCATCTGGCTGCCTCCCCTGCAGCCACCTATCAGGACACAGCCCCTTTGCTTTGCCCAGCCCGCAAGGGTGAAGAAGCCCCAACAGAGCCCATGCCTTCGGATTCCTCATCATGAACTCCTCCCTATCTGCAAGCATGAAACAAAGTTACTAAACTTCTACCCGTTTTTCCCTTGTCAATCTCTCTCACCAGCCTAACTCATATGGTATCTTTTAAAAATTTGTTTATTTTATTCTGTTTACTGGAAAGAGACCTGCAGAGAGAAGGGAAGACAGAAAAATCTTTCAACTGCTGGTTCACACCCCCAGTGTCTGCAACAGCTGGAGCTGAATGAATCCGAAGTCAGGAGCCCCTCTGGGGCCTCCCACATGGGTGTAGGGTCGGGTCCCTTGGCTTTGGGTCATGCTCCACTACCTTTCCAGGCTACAAGCCGGAAGCGATGGGAAGTAGAATGCTTATATGAGATCCCAGCACTTGAAGGAGAGGATGAGCCAAGTAGGCATTGCACTGGGCCCCACAGGGCCTCTTCTGTAGGAGCCGAGGTAGAAGAAAGATTCTCCCCCACCTCCCCCCGACTGCACCTCTCTGCACATACCCGAAGGACACCCTGGGCTTGCCACATGCCTGGTACTTCCCATCTGTCCTGACTTTCCAGCTCTGTTACCCAAAAGAGCCCTGCGGTGTCAACCCATATGCCCTTGACCCAGCATGGCCGCCCCAGTGCTAGGGCTCACCTTTCTTGCTCCAGGAACTGCATACATAGAATTCACACTGAGTGCTAAGTGTTTTGAATGTCACCCCTGTTCAAGGGGAAGCTGTCACTTGACATGAAGTCCAGCTTGTGATAACGCACAGGTGAATGACTGACAATGAGAAGAAGCCCAATGTTCAACAACAGCGGTAAGGACACCACTGCTAATGTCTCCAACCCCGAGCAGAGCGCCTGGGTTTGAGTCCTCGCTCTGCCTACCATCATACTTCCTGCTAGTGCACACCTTGTGAGGCCACAGATGACAGCTCAAGTACCTGGATCCCTGCTACCCACATGGGAGACCTGCAGCTTTTCCAGGTATTTGGGGTGTGGACCATTGGATAGAAAATTTCTCTGTCCCTGCCCATCTCTGTTGCTCCATGTTTCAAATACATAAATAAAACTTTTCAAAAAGAATTGCAAAAGTTTGAATAAATGAAACGTTGCCTGTCCGAGAGGGCCTAAAACCATCAAAGCCTGTGAGAGAAGTCACAGCTTAAAGTGACAGGTGTGAGATACCCATAGTCACACCCCTGGATTCCAGGCCCAGTGACTGTAAGATGCACACAGTCCCATGCACGGTGGCTGTCCTAGGTCGTCTTACTTGTCCACTACTTTTGGATTATTTCCTTGTCTTAAGATAGCCATGTGGCTCTCTGGCATGCCCAAGTGCCTGGAAGAGTAACTCTGACAGATTCAAAACAGCAAAATGTACACAGATGCAAAGTACTCACAAAATTCCCTATTTGTAAGCAACAGGTCCTCAAGCAGGGAAGTAGAGGCCAAGGTGGGGAAAGCAGGGTGTGCCAAGGGCTGGCAGGCAGTCTACAATCCAGGGTGCTTCCATGTCAGAAAGAGATATGACAGCTGAGGATGAACTCCTGCTCAAAGGAGATGGGACTGGAAGCGCAAGGCCTGCCTGGAGGTGTGGGACAGCAGCTCTCCCCAGCACTGCTGTGTGGTGGCCTCATCGCCTGGCGGGACATCCGCATCCAGAGCCCTTGGCACCTCCGCTAGCCCTACCATTTGGCTTGGTTCCTGCACTCCTGCTAGCAAAGAGTGTCTGGTTCACCTTGGCCACAGCAGAACTTGCAAGCCTTGATTTCTAGTTTACATCCCACCTACGTGTGATGCAAGTTGCAGCTAGCAATTTACATCTCTCAGATTCTGCCCAAGGCTGATCTCTAGCTCTTGCTGCTGTTCCTGAAGCCAACTGCTCATTTTCCACACAGCAGGCTCATCGACTCCTAGGCTTCTGCCTGTCCCTTTGACAGTATTCTCCTGTGAGAAGAAGGGAAACCCAAATCAATTCCAAATGGCCCAAGGTAGATAATCACAGTGGAATGTTTTCCAAGTACTACCCTGAAATTTAACCTACCTATGCTCTCCCATAAATTCAGAAACTGTTTCTTTCAAAAAATTTTTATTTTATTTGAAAGGTAGATTCACAGAGAAATGGAAAGAGGTCTCCTCTCCACTGATTTACTCATCAAACGGCCGCAACAGCTGGAGCTGGGGTGGTCTGAATCCAGGAGCCAAGAGCTTTCTTCCAGGTCTCCCACGTGGGTGCAGGGTTTCAAGTCTTAGGGCCACACTTTACTGTTTTCCCAAGCCACAAGCAAGGAGGCATGGATCAGAAGTAGAACAGCTTGGACCTGAACTGGTACTCATATGGAATGTTGGCACCACAGGCTTAGGCTTAAGCTGAAACACCACGGCACTAACCCTACATATTGGTTCTTGAACAGGACAATAAATAAGACGATCCATCTAACTCTTATAGCTATTTTACAAAAAATAACAACAATAATAATAAAAGCAGAATCACTGTAGAGGACAGAATCATGGCGTAGCAGACTAAGCCTCATCCTGCAGCACCAGCATCCCATACAGATACCAGTTCAAGTCACAGCTGTTCCACTTCCAATCCAGCTCTAGCAACAGGCTCATACATCAGCAGGAGATGGCCCAAATGCTTGGGTCCCCTACCCATGTGGGAGACCCAGAAGCTCCTGACTTCCAACTCTGAACCTGCCCACCTCTGCTCACTGCAGCCATTTGGGAAATGAACCAGTAGATGGTATTTCTCTCTTTCTCCTTTCTCTCCTTCTCTTTCTGTAACTCTGCCTTTAAAAAAAAAAAAAACTTTAAAAAAGACACCAGCCACATTTTATAGTAGCGTTTTTTTAAAAAATCACTTAAAAAGCAATGTCAATATATAAAAGCTGAAGCTTTAAAAAAGCACAACACGGGTGTGGCGCAATGGCCTCATGGCTGAAGTCCTCACCTTGCATTGGCCAGGATCCCATATGGGTTCCTGTTCCAGCTGCTCCACTTCCTATCCAGTTCCCTGCTGTGGCCTGGGAAAGCAGTGGAGGATGGCCCAAGGCCTCGGGACCCTGCAGCTGCATGCTCCCCAGAGGAAGCTCCTGACCCTGACTTAGGATCAGCTTACTTCCAGCCAATCTTCCAGCTAGAGTGTGAACCAGCGTACGGAAGAGCTTTTTCTCCTTCTCTTTATGTATCTGCCTTTCCAATAAAAATAAATATTTTTTTAAAAGGAGGATGCAATTAATTATGCATCCCAAGCAAATTCTTGGCTATTCAAATTTTTTGTTTTGATAATAAGTCTTTCTAAGGATTCTTCAGGATTCCTTGGGACCTTCTCTCATCATCAGCTTCTAGGTGTTCTTGCTTTCTGGAAGAGAATTCGTAAGTCTGTTCAGCCATATGGTCAAGACCCTAACACAGATACGCCTTGACTTGAAGTAGGATCACACCCTCTCATATTAATCATAACACATCTACCCACCAAACACCCTGGCTTAGCAACACAGGGCAGCATTGTGCTTCCCCCTGTGACCCTGAGGCAGACTAGGAGCTGTGGTGGCTACAACCCATCATCACAAGAGCACTGCAAGCCCAGGGGAAGATGAAAATCCATTCAGTTTCTACTGAACGTGCACAGCTTTCACATCATCATAAAGTTGAAAAATCCTAAGTTTAATCATCCTAAGCCAAGGACCATTCTGGACACACCCACTACACTGAGGGAATTCAATCAACAGGCATGACTGAGCATATACCATGGGACAGGCATAGACCCCGCACCTTAATGCATAATTCATCCAGGCTTTGCATCCATCTGACGGAGGAATCCTTGGTTGGTATCATCTGCCATCACAGATAAGCAGGTCTGAAGGAACTCGTTTTGTATTCGGTAGGTTCTGACTCCCTGGTAGTCTGATTCCAGAACCCTTTTAAACTCATGTTACCATTACCACTCACTAAACTCAGCCTTACTCTGAAATGCGCAATGAATCAACAAAACACCTCTTCCCGCACCTCTGTTTTAACACCCTTTCATTCATTTTGACCCCTCTCAGCCTTTTTCCTTGGGCCCACTCTTGTTCACAGTAATGAGGGTGAGGTCTTGAGTCACACTGTTCACTGGTTTATTGAAATTTGGGGAAATCATTCCCCAAGAGACACCACAGTGCGAAAGGGACGCCATCTTTCGCCCCATTGGTCCATCTATCTATCCCAACAGAGATGCCTTCCTTTGGTTAGGATTTCCACCAAGTATCCACCGGAAGCAGCTTCTCAAACCTGTCCTCTCCCTATATCTTTTCCCTTAATTCTCCCCCAAAAGCACAAAGCAAAAGGGAGTAACCTTGGGAGAGGGTGACCGTGAGTGTAGACTGAGGTGGTCTATAAGCACAAAGGGAAGGGGGAAGAGTGAGCAGAAACAGGCTCTGTGCAGAGGAGAGGGTATGGACAACCCTGCCAGACAGGAAGTGGGGAAAGTGCATAACAATGTGCAGGGTAGCTGTGTATCGCTTTGTTAGAATAATGACCTTAAGGGGCAAAGGGAAAGGGATACCCAATGTACATTGAGGCCACACAGGAAAAATACATGGATAAACATACATGCATGCAGGTAGGGAAGACATGACTGACTCAGCATTCCAGACAATAGCACACGCCTACCCAAATATATGCAAGGGCACACACATGACCACCAGACAAGCACACGCAGCTATGAGTGCGAGGTATGCAAGCAATCATCCATGACCACAGCATTAAGGGAAGAACAGGAGAGGGAAGACACACGTATGTTGGGAGGCATGAGCACGTAACACAGCATAGGATCATGTGAGCCCTGGCTAGAAGAATGAGTCCCCAAGAAAAGGACAATTCAAGGAAGAGTAAAAGGGAGTATGTGAAAGGGTAATAGGATAGAAAGAGATAACAATGGAGAGGTGGAGAGGCCCCAGTTGGGGTGGAAAGGGCACTTGTGGGGAGACCCCTGTTGGTAGGAGCAGAGCATAAAGACAGAGGAGGCTGCAAGGGTTGCTTGGTAACAAGACGGAGGCCAGAAGTAGAAGAGAAGGAGGTTGGGGAGGCTGCTGAGGAGTGGTGAATGAGGAGCGTCAAGCAAGGTACAAACCAAATGAAGTAGTGACATAGAATGATATAAATGAACAAGAGAAAAAAAGTCTGTTGCCCAGAATATTCGAGACCGAAATAACCCCAGGACTCACAGAGGAAAGTGTATTTACAAGAGATGGGAATGGATAGCATGTTGTCCCATCTGGGGATAGGGATTCCCCTGCTGCCTCCCCAGACCCCCACCCTCTTCCCACACCCTTCCCCTCCCCCTACTGGCTGGTCCTTCCTGATACCCCCTCACTTGTAAAGCAAATGGACTCGACTCCCATCACAGCTAAGCCGGTCAGGGGGCTCAGGGGGGCCCCTGGGAAGGCCCCCAGATGGGTCTGGAGGCGTTGGGGGGTGACGCCGAGAGCGGAGCTGTTGCCGAGACTGGAGTTGATGGCGTAGTTCAGAGACTCGTTCCTCTTTCTGGAGGAAGAAAACAAAAAATCACAAGCATTGGAGGAGAGGTCATGAGGGGTGGGGAGGAGAGAAAGGAACAGCGCAGAATCATGGGTGGGGTACAGGGTTCCAAAAGAAAGCAAAATGAGGAATCAAGAAAAAAAAACAAGGAACGTCAGAAAAGACAAGGGGCACATGGAAGATTTTGACCTTTTTTGATCAAAGAAATAAAAGTTTTAAACAAAAGGATAAAGTGGAGGAAGGGAGAAGAATCAGTGCACAAATCTTCCAATAAATCCCAGACTGATGGTAACGCGGCAGGAATACGCCCCTCTTTGACACTGATGGGCTCCCCACTAAAGCCTGGAACACAATGGACAGATCCTGACATCGGATTCTGAGTGTCAGCTGCTGGGGTGCACAGCCTTCACCCCTCAACTGCCTCAAGGGGGTGCTGTCATCAATGCAACCCCCTCCACTTGATGAGCCCAACACTAGATCTTCTCTGTGACAAAAATCCGCTCAACCCTTTACCCTTCCCCATCCAGCCCCACTCACTCCTTTTTGGGTTTTCTCCTCAGACCCTGTCCCAGGGCTGGGATGTGGTCTGGGTGACTGGAGCTGTGCTCCACAAAGTGACATTATTAGGAGGTGCCGTGGAACCTTCAAGAGATCACTGGGGTGCTGCCTTAGGTGTCGCACTGAGTGACAAAGAGCTGATGGACACACCCTCTCTCTCTAACTCACAAGTTCCAGAACCTGAACCGCCAGCTGTGCTTGAGCTAAGCTGACTGCTCAGATCCCACACCTGCCATCACTCCACACACCTCAGCAATGATCTTCTCCAGCTCACGGTTCTCCTTCTCCAACAGCCGTGACTTCTCCTCCTCATTGTTGTTGGTGGACGACCCTGTCTTCATGGTGTCCTGTGCCTCGGACTGCCATTCCCCTCGGGTGATCAACCTGCGCATCTGGAGGCAAGTGTTTGGGCATGGGCAGGCCAATCAGGGATGGTCAGTGGTCGGCTGATATGGGGTTGGAGTCAGAAGGAATGAAAATAAGAGAGACAGACTGGGCCCAAGACAGCTAGAGGAGCAGAAGCAGGAGGCAGGGAAGGGTAAGGGAGCAGAATCCCAAGAAGAAGAAACAGAAGGAACACGGGACTAGAGAAGGTGGGAGAAGCCAGAACCTCACCTTGGGCACAAAGAGCACGACCAGAGTAATATAGGAGGAGAAAACTATGGCGAGAGAGGCGAAGGCAAAGGCTGCATCCTGCTGGCTGGAAAGGATCATGGTGACAGGAGCAGTGATGAGGCACAGGACCTAGGGGACACAGCACATACAGGGAGTCTCAGGGAGCTGCAGGCTCCTTCCCCCGAAGACAACCATTCAGAACAGGTTCTTGGTGAAATTTCTGACAGCTGATCATAACACCAGATGGAGATAAACTGCTCCCAAACAAGTTCCCAGTGCTAAGTCCAGTCTTCCCTCAAGGCAGGCACATCCTCACGGTCTTTCAAAAGTCAATACCTGGGCATCCCAGGCGGGAAATCTCCATTGAGAGTCCAGCCTGATAACCACAGACAAGCAACCTAACATCTCTGTGTTTCTTTCCTCACCTACGAGGTGAGAACACATAGACTTTATTGGCAGTTCCAAAAGTTACAACACAGTGTATAAAATAGTGTGCTTTATTAAAAAGAAACTGCTTTACAAATTTGAAGCACTAACAAGCTCTTTTTGACTTCTAAGCACCTGTAAGGTCTTTTAGACTTGCAAGCAACGCTGGCACCCAGGGCTTTCTAGGTGTTGTAGTCAGCCCACAAGGTCAATGGCAGATGTCTGGGGAGCTCACCGCCACATTGTAGATGGCCATGCCCACAGCCCGGTGGTCGTTGATCTTCTCAGTGGACACACTCTTGGTCTCATAAGCAAGAAAGATTCCCAAAAGCAGCAGCAGTCCCTTGTAACCATAGAAAATGCCTAAAAGAGCAGGAAAATGTCACCTAAGCAACAAGGGCCTTCTCCTCCCCACTCAACTCTTATCTTGTGTCTTTGTTCCTCTCCTACTGCTGCTATTTCTTATAGTACCACAGTGAAAAGAATGCCCCTTCTCCAGTTCATGCCTGCTGACCTGGGGCACTCTCCATGTGAACCCTAACCCTCAGTTTGCTCATGTCCCACAGCTTTCTCCTGCATTTAGGAGACATGTTCCGCCCAGGAAGATCATGATCATCTGCAGGTTCCAGGAACGTGTCAGACACAATGTCTCACTTGTTCTCCTCCAGCTATAAAGGTGGCTTCCCAAACTGAAGGTAATTTGTCTCTTATGTGCATCAATCAGAGCAACGTAAGTGAAGCCTGCACCCATGACTTCAGTCTTTGCCTGCCTCTGGAGAGCCGGCCCAACACATCCTTGCTGACCCCTCTGCTGAACACAAGTCCACTCTCCTCTCTACTTTGGACCCTAAGTTCCTCACAGAGCAAGTTCAGCAGTCCCTACCCTCAGAAAAGATGACTACAATTACAAAAAGGGGAATGTTCAACTGGGTTGATGGGTTCTCGGCTTCTCTCCTGCTGACCCTTGCCCTCCAAACCCACAGTCCCCAGCAGCTCTGCCCTTGCCGCACCGTTCCCCTCCTTTTCCCTACAGCCACACACCAAGCCACGTGTTCATCTTCTTAGAGCTGCAGTGCTCCAGCTGGGGCAGAATAGAGACATCGATGTCTTCCTTTGGCTCTTCTTTGGCAAAAGTCTAAGGGAGAAATGGGTCACAGGAAAGATGTGGCTGCCCGCCCTTACCCTCTCTAACTCTGCTCCATTCCTCGCTCCCAACCCTGCAGCAGCTTTCCCAGGAGACCCTGAGTGGCAAAGCCAATTTCCTCTCTAGACCTACAAAGTCTCCTTCACACTTCACAAGAGCTTGTTCCCACTTTTCAGGTACCTAGAAACCCTACATATCCCATGCAGACCACCAGCACTTCCTTCTTGCAAAGAGATCCAGAGGCCTCTGGGGGGCCCTTCTAGATGGAAGAGCTACTGAAGATGTAGCAGGAAGCACTGGCTCATCAGGTAGCTTTATTCCTCAAGCCACACACAGCCACACACAAGCCCCAGGGCCCTGACAGCCTGCGAACCCTGCTCAGGCTCAGACTCCAACAGCATACCTCAATGGTCCGGTGCAAAGGGTCCACAATCTGCCAGATGGCGAGAGTAAGGACATCCAGCCCCACCAGCAGGCCCACCGTGGCATACAACTTCCAGGGCTCCAGGGTCTGAGTAAACACATGCAGCACAGGCACCTCAGGGAGACGGTCCCGAGAGCCCCCAGGGGCCGGGGCATTGGGAAGCAAGTTACCTTCCTCCACTCCTTCTTTTCTTCCTTTTTTGTGAACACTGTATGTACCCACCAGATCTTGGTGAACATGGAGCCATAGCCCAGACTAAAGCCCAGACCGAGGAGCCAGAGGCGGGCCTAAAAAAAGGACAGAGGACACAGGCAGAACAGGGGTGGGTAGAGAGTGGGACTGTGGTTGAGAGGGGAAGGGCAGTGGGAGCAGGCGTGGGCAGGCAGCAGATGACAAAGCAGGCAGGATACAGCCAGATGGGGATGTGTACAAGAGGGAAAGGACGGGGGATGGTCCTCCTTCAACAGTTCCTCCCATCCATCTCCTACTTGGCCATCAAGGGCAAACACTGCTGACCACTCCTCAGTGCCTACAGATTATAACCTGAACACCCTTAGAACCCAAGACCCCACCTACCTGTCCTGGTTCACCTCCCACCATATTATCTTCCTTGCACTTCAGTCATACTGACTTATTCATTTTCCTTTGATCTACTCTCGTGTCTTTGCTCATCACATAATGTTCCCTTTGCTCCTGAGTAGCCTTCCTTTATTTCCTCCAGTGGGCAAAACCTCTGCACATCCTTTGATGTGCAAATATCACCTCCACTGTGAGGCTATGAGGTCAACCCTGGACTAGAAGTTGCTTTCCCTTCACTGTTTCCACACAGCACCTCTACTTCTCCCACTGTGCTGCTGCTAGGACAGGTAACCCCTCGTGGACTGCCATGTATATGTGTGCTCAAATGCTGTTTGCATAAATGCATGATCGGGACAGCAATGGGGCCAGAAGAAAGAGGCAGTGAAGACGAGCAGAATAGGGGGAGAAGGTGAGTGTTCCCTTCTAGCAAAAGAAAAAGCACTGCTGAGGCCAGCCTGTCCCCAAAGCCACAGAGCCATCCACGCACCAATGAGTCCCTGGAACCTTTTCCCTGTGTGACAGTGGTCCCTTCCCCCAAGCCTCTCTGTCTGTTTAGATCTTTCCTTTCATCCTTCCAAACCCCAACTGAGGCTCCCACAGGAAGTCCACGGTCATAGTCCTCGGCTCCCACACCACAGACAATCCGCCTTTGTTCAAGAGCTCTTTGTGCAGACCCCTTTTCTTCATCTTTAGTACTCTCTCTGTTTCTCTGCAAGGCATGCCATGGCAACCTTGGAACTGACAATGAAGTGCAGAATAGAAGAGACCCAGAAAGCAGGCACAGAGCCAGAGATCAGAGGACTAACACTACGAGGAATGAACACGGACGGACGAGAGCTGGGGAAAGGAAAGGAAAGGAACCCCAAGTCCCAGAAGAGACACGGGAGGATCGCAACTACCTCACCTGACAGACGAAAGGGAACTGGCTTCTCCCGATATGGTAACCATCCAGCCCAAGTGGGAAGACAGCAGCTAACGCCAGCGAGCAGCCCACAGCAGTCAGATTGTTCAGGTTAGGCTGAGAGTTCTGGATATAACTAGGCAGAGGCGGAGAAGGTGGGAGAGGGAGAGAGAACAGAATTACCCCGTCTTCTCTAGACAGGCTTGGCTCTCCAAATACCATGCAATGGCATGACCCCAGCTCCAGGGTCAGGGGCTTAAAGGAAGAGAGAAAATAGTGCTTGGGGTTAGAATTGGATCTGCACAGGGCTCTGCCAATCCAGGTCCCTTCCAGAATGCACCTGATTCATGTATAGCCCAAGACCATGTCATATGATCCCCAAAGGTTGTTTTTTCAAGTCAGCTGCTTTGGAAAAGGGGAGGTCCTACCTGGATCCCCACTTTCATTCTCATTAAATTACAGTGACAACCTGTGCGCCACAACCTTGGCAATTGTACACAATTCATTCCTGCCCCTCGACCCTTTAAGGGTCCCTTGCAAGGGATAGTGGCAGAAGAGAAACTTACCGGACATGGGAATTGTAGATGTTAAAGGAGAGACAGACAACAGCTAGGACAATGCCCAGGCTGGAGAGAACCGAGACGGAGATAAAGAGTTTCTGTGACAGGAAACGGAATGTCTTGATGACCATGGTCTGGTCCGCTGGGGGGGACCCTCCTGCATGGCACAGGGAAAGAGGATGGGAGGGGAAAGAGAAAGGAAGGAAGACAAAGGAACGCAGATGGGATAGGAGGAAGGGGCAGAGGACAAGGTCGCCGACAGACATACAGTCTGGCTGAGGACATGAGGCCTGGCTGCACTCAGCAGGACAGGCAAAATAGTCCTCAACTGTGGCCGTCAGGACCCACCAGAAACGAGATGAGAAAATGGAGTGAATGCTAGGAAATGCTGAGCTCCAGTGCCTCTACACAGCTGTAGAGTTCTGGTTTCTAACAGTTCTTTCCATTTTTCCTTTCTTGCAGCAAAGGAAAATGAGAGGGGGAAAGATGAACAGAGCTGAGGCCTCTCATAACCCAAATTAAAAGCTGCAGAAGACAATTAAAGGATCCTAAAGCAAAAAGGGCCTTCAAACCAATTAGTGTGGCCTCCTAACCCTAGGCAAAGAAACAAAATAATCAGAGACTTTAACCCTGGCAGGGTGATATTTCCAAAGTTGCTTTCCAGTTATTATTAAAGGGAAGTTCGAATTTGTCACACTGTACCCAAAAAAAAAGAGAAAACAAAACAACAATAACAAAACTAATTGCAATTTGCCTGGATTTAAAAAAGGGGGGGGGGGGGGGCGGGGATAATGTAGGCCACACAACATTTATAGCAGTACAGAACGCTGTCCTAAATTTGAATTATTAAAAAAAAAAAAAAAACTGCAAAGCTCCAGCAGTGCTGGAAAGAGCTAGATTTCAGTGGGGCAGGGCAGATGGAGCCATCTTCGCCAGCTTCACCTCCCCCACACCAACCTGCAGGTGCTGAGCCTTTCTGCCGCAATTGGTCCTGCCTTTTACCCACCTCCAAGCATCTTTCCCATTTCCGCTCTACTAGTCTACCCAGAACACAAGGGATAATTACTTACTTTCTCTAAAAAAACACACTTTGGTAGACCATAATGTGAGGGTTTCTGCCCTGTCCGACAGTTTAAGCCACTGCCTTCCTGACAGAGAGGCAGCTCAAGGCTTGAAGTAGCTGGTTCAGATTCATCAAGGCAGCAGGACATCTGGGAAACCCAAATGCAGTTTCCATTTCCCAGCCCCTGTCTGCCCTCTGCCTCGAATCCTCAGTTACCCCAGCAATGTACCATTAAAAACAGCACAGTCCACCGTCTATTCTCTGTTCAAGCACACCAGTCTCCCCTAACCCACGTCTTGGAGGTTGTGTTTGCTGTCTCTTAATGCCTGCCCCGGCCTCTCTCCCAGCTACAGCTCAAATTCACTACCCCCAACCCCCAATCCTCATTTAAACACAAGGCCCTTTCCTGGATCGTCCAGAGGGTTGAAGGAACATATAAACAGGATGAGCTTACCAATCCACTTATCCGTCTTGGACCAGGAAAGATCATCCTTGGTGCTGTCATAGTAGCCAATCTTCTTATAGCTGCCACCTGGCAGGTGACAACAGAAAGAATGACCGGGGCAGGTGAAGGGTCCCTTGTAGAACTTTCAACTTCCCACTTGCTTAATGCTGCTTTCTGCCATTGTACCTGATGTTAACTGAATCTAAAAGGTGCTTGTAAGGACCTAGGGGTTGCTTGAATTAGCAATCTGATTTAAAAGTAATATAAGGTGGTTCCCAAGGCAACGCAAATAAGCGAAAACATCTCATATGTTTCAAGCTCTTCCAAGGGAAGGCTCCACAGCATGTCTGCCACCCCTTCCACTGCCTCACACCTCTCCAGAAAGATGCTTCTCACTTTGATACTGGCTTCTAAAGCTTTAAACATATTTCTGCTTATTCTCCTTTGATGGGCAGACTTGCAGGATCTATCTTCCCAGTAGCTTTCATTTTAATTTTAGAAATGTCTCTTCCGTTGGCTTGGATTCTAATTCCTTATATGAGACATTTCTGCCTCTTAAAGAACTACTAACTGAAATCTAGGCACTCCTACAATTTTTGTTGTAGAACTGTCCTGGTTAACAAAGCTATCATTTTAAAGGCCAAGTCATATCCGTTTACCATGGCTGAAGTCAACAGAGAATGGGGGAGTGGGGACAGGGGAGAGGGAAAACCATAAACTTTTAACAGAAGGCTAAGAAACAGTTCTCTTGACCAGACCTTGTAAACCTGAGTGGGAGGTGCAGTAAACACATTAACTCAGAAGTTTTGCAGGGCCAGCATTTGTGGCCATTAGGAAGCGAACTGGTGGATGGGAGCTCTTTCTTTCTGTGTCTTTCTACCTATCAAATAAATAATTCTTTTTTTTTTTTTTTTTATTGTTGCTTACACTGTATTATGTAGTACAGTTTTATAGGCACTGGGGATTCCCCCCACCCCTCCCCCCATGGTGGATTCCTCCACCTTGCTGCATAACCATAGTTCAAGTTCAGTTGAGATTCATTGCTTGCAAACACATGCCTAGCATAAAGTTCAGCGTCTTATTGTCCAGATAAGTCCAGTGGCCTCTTGGGGAGACCTTCTATGGTCTGAAGATAGGTCTAACAGAGTAAAGATCCAGTCAGTTAAAAGCCCCAACAAGGCCTCAGTATCAATATACAACAGGGACCAGCATGATGGCTCAATGGCTAAATCCCCACCTTGCAAGCACCGGGATCCTATATAGACACCAGTTCAAGTCCCGGCAGCTCCACTTCCCACCCAGCTCCCTGCTTGTGGCCTGGGAAAGCAGTGGAGAACGGCCCAATGCCTTGGGACCCTGCACCCACGTGGGAGACCTGGATGAAGCTCCTGTCTGTTGGCTTTGGATCGGCTCAGCTCTGGCCATTGTAACAATTTGGGGGGTGAACCAATGGACAGATCTTTCTCTTTCTCCTCTCTGTAAAGCTGATCTGCCTTTCCAATAAAAATAATAACTAAGACTTTAAAAAAGTTCTACAAATACATAAATGTGATGAATTATCAGGAAATACAATCTAGAAAAGGAAAACAATAGAAATCTTAAGAATGACAGTTTACAAATCAGGGAAATTCAACAAATTTCCTTAAAAATTTTTTTAAAAACTAACTAAGGGGCCCAGCGTAGTCGCCTAGCAGCTAAGGCCCTCACCTTGAATGCGCAGGGATCCCATATGGGCACCAGTTCTAATTCCACCAGCTCTACTTCCCATCCAGCTCCTTGCTTGTGGTCTGGGAAAGCAGTCGGGAACAGCCCAAAGCCTTGGGACCCTGCACCCACGTGGGAGGTTCCTGGCTCCTGGCCTTCCAGCCATGTGGTCACTTGAGGAGTGAATCATCAGATGGAAGATCTTCCTCTCTGTTTCTCCTCCTCTCTATATATCTCACTTTGCAATAAAAATAAATAAATAAATCTTAAAAAAAAAAAACAGATATGGGAGCACCACAGACGAAGCTTCTTTGGGGATCCCTCCAACTGAACTGCTGATCTCAGAACCCCAACCATGAAGATAAGTGTAGGTTCCATGGTCTGACCATGGAGCACATATGTCATGGAGCAATGGACAGCATATCCAGGTGCACATGGAGAATATGGCAGTCCATCAGAATCTGCAGAAGACACTTGGTACCACAACAGAGGATAGACGACAGAACAAATCGATCATCTATCCGTCATGTGTTGACAGTGAAAATCTGGAAAAATGGAGACCCTAAGGTGGACTATGTCAGCCAGTGGATTCTGGAGAGATTTCATGGTCCTTGGAGTGGTGAGACTGGCAGCAACTCAGAACTGTTGAACTATCAAAGCCACCTGAGTAGGACCCTTGGAGCATGCCCCCCATCGGTGACCCTGGGATGGGTGGGAGGCTGGGTTGGGCTTCTCCATTTATCTCCCTCCTTACTCCAGATACAGAAAAAAATGTGGAAAGCAATGGTTGCACCCATTTTCCTGTAGGCCTTGACCCTTTCCACCCTAATCAATTATGTAAGGATTATCAAAAAAATTTTTTAAATGTTTATTGAAAAAAATAAATATATATAAAAAAAAACTAACAGCTTTTGGGTCAGCATTGTGGCATAGCCACTTACCCTGCTACTTGCAACTCTACGTCAAAGTGCCAGTTTTGTGCCTGGGAAGGCAGTGGATGATGGCTCAAGTGCTAGGACCTTGCAACCCAGCAGGGAGACCCAAATGAAGTTCCTGCCCTCTGGTTTCACCCTGGCCCATGCCTGGCTGTTGCAGACATCTGCAGGGTTGACCAATGGATGGATGATCCATCTTACTTGTTCACTTGATCTCTATCTCTAATCTCTTGTCCCTTTTTCTATCTCCCTCTAATATCCTTCCTTTTAAATAAATATTTAAAAAAAAAAAAAAACAGCAGGTTTCAGGTCTGGAGCTGTAGTCTAGTGACTAAAGTCTTTGCCTTGCATGTGCCAAGATTCCATATGGGCACCAGTTTATGCCCTGGCTGTTTTACTTCCCTTCCAGCTCCCTGCTTATAGCCTAGAAAAGCATTGGAGGATGGCCAAAGCCTTGGGACCCTGCATCTGTATGGGAGACCCAGAAGAAGCTCCTGGTTCCTAGCTTCCGATTGGCTCAGCTCCGGCCATTGCAGCCACTTGTCTCCTTCTCTCTGTAAATCTGACTTTCCGATTAAAATAAATAAATAAATAAATCTTTAAAAATATAGCATGTTTCCTAGAGTGACCTTTTCTTATATCCTAAGTATGTACTGACAGATCGTTAATTCCTCAGCCCAAGTCATCAAAAGAAAATCTCCAGCACCAAAATGGAAGCCATTGGGAAGAGATGCTTATTTTGTTAGCATGCCCCTTTTCAGACGACAACCACTGCAATCACAGATACCCACCTGTCCCTAAGTTAATTTATTATTATTATTTCAGAGCTTAACAAGCACAACGGCAAAAAGAGCAGGAGGGGCCTGATAATCTCGTACTGTCTCAGGTATTCTCCCAGGCCCACCTCGGTGGTCACCCGCCTGGCCACACTCCTGGCCCTGCACTCACCCTGTAGCTGCTCGATGAGTGTCCACGCCATTCGAGAACCACTGGCATCAAACACCACATGGCCCTGAGAAAGAGAAACATGAGGAGGAAGGCAAAGGGAATAAAAGCAGAGCAAAACGGGAACATCAGGGACTCTTTGAATCCTTCTGTTTTTGATGTAATTGAGCTTCTGAATGAATACTATTTATGGCATCTCCCTGCATATAGGACATACCCCAGATGCCCATACCCTAGATTTTAGAAACATTATTCTTTTGAGAGCAGCTTTACCCATAAGACTTGAATGGAAAAATCCCCAGACAGAGCACCAGGAAGCTTGCCTTCTTGGCTGTGTGGCCTGAGCAAGTCACCAAACCCACCCAAACACTCATTTTCTTACTTTAAAAGGAAGGAGATGTTCTTTCAGATTATTTTCTCTTTTAAATCCTATAATTCTCATCTGACTTATAAATGCTTGAACTGATTTGAAAAGAAACAAAGGGAAACATTAAAAGAAGAATATGTGAGTTTCTTTCCCTTATATTGCTTTGTGGGTTTTTCTGGTCTGGGGCTCCCCACAGTCCAAGTCTGAGGCTGACTTTGGCAGAGAAATTACTGAGAAGATAGGGTAGACAAGTTTCCAGGAAGAGGAACTTGAGAAGGGGTCCCTTGCTAGCAGAAGGTTGAATGAGTATGAAGAAGTTGGCATAACTCACAGAGACACCCTCGAAGGAGGAGGAGTTCATTGCCCGATAGATTTGGTCAGTAATGGTCTGGTTGTTGTAGTTGAAGTCCTCCAAGCGCACACCTGAACGGCCACCCCCTCCAGATGTCTTGTTCAGGGCCAGGGCCAAGGCCCAGATGGCATCATAGGCCAGAGGTGCCTCCTGGAAGCCTCCAGTCTCCTCAGGGTGTCTTTTGAGTCGTTTGGTTAGTTTCTCTACAAATTCCTGGGATGTCTGGAAAGGAAAGAACATGAGAAATGGATCAGCAAGTGTGTGTTGTAGGGGCAGGGAGTGGGGGCACCAATTCTGACTCAAGCACTTTAGACTTCAATGGAAGGGTTTATGTTCATATTGTCATATTAATCATATTGCATATTCATCCCCTATAATCATACCCTTGTGTCTCTTAGATAGAAAGCTACCAGACTAGGAGAGGGTTTTGCTGGGCTCAAATGGGTTCAAATGTCTTAGCATGCATAGACACTAGCTCAGAACTACAGAAAATCTGACACATCCTAGATAGGGGCTGGCATTGTGGTGCAGTAGATTAAATCACTGTATGCAACACTGGCTTCACATTTTAGAGCATTGGCTCTAGTCCCATCTGATCTAGCTCTAACATGTGAAGGAAGGCAAAGGGGATAAAAGCAGAGAAAAAAGGGAACATCTAGCTCCCCACTAATGCACCTAGGAAAGCAGCAGAAAATGGCCCAAGCAATCCTGTGCCACCCCCATAGGATTCCAGAATGGAGTTCTTGGCTCTTGGCTTTGGAGAGTGAATCAGTAGATGGAAATTCTCTTTCCCTCTGTCTCACTCTCCCTATCCATCCTTATAAATAAACTTTTTTTTTAAAGGCTAGGGAAAAACGGAAATACTCTGAATAATGAATGGTGACAGACAGGCAGTGGAGACAGGGCACAGGGAGATGCAGACACTCCAAGAAAGAGCTGACACGCTGACGCTCTCTCATCTTTCAGACTTTCTCAGCAGAGTTGGCCCAGGATCGGACGGCTCCTCCAGTTCCAAAAATGCTAGACAAAATAACACCATAGCCTTTCTCACTCTGCTTGTAAGCCAGGAAGATTTCTCTTCAGCATACTAACTTCTTGCCATCCTTGTGCTTTTCAGTACACTTCCTCCGAAAGGGTTTTCAGAAGACTGGGACGACAAAAATACCCTTCACATGTTCAAGTCCATATTCACTCTTACCCAAGCTCTCCCAACACTTAATCTTCTTTTGCCAAAAAAGCAAAAAGCTAGTTTATTTAACTCTTGATGAGTTGGATCAACAGATCTGACTCTGTGTACCTGGCAATAAGCTTCTCTGGCTAAATGATCATCAAGTAAATTGCTTAACCTCTTGAAACTGTCTTCCATATAATAGGAGGGGCACTCCATCTTCCCTTCCCTAGCTCCCTTAAATCACACAAGGAAGAAACTCAGCAACTACATAGCAGAAAATCACAAGTAACACATGAATGAACCACACAAATCATCTTTTGGATTTGAAATGCATTAGCACATACACTGTAATGAAGGAATAAATAAAATTTTAAAAGTTGCTCCTCATGCCCTGCCATTGCATTCTACTCAACTTCCTAGAAAGAAATGAGAGAAGGATATACAAAACCCATACAGTGTGGGGCAGTGGAAACAGCCAGCACATTTAAACACAGGCCTGTGTCCCCTACCTTTAAGGATAGGAGCAAGCTCTACTCCTCTCTTAATCATTACCTCTTAGCACTGAGCCCAACCACTAATGAACAAACAACAAATATTTCATGCATCAGAGAAGCCAGAATATCATACCATATCATACTATAATGGCAGACATGTGTCATTAAACCTTTGTCCAAACCCAGCAATGCCAAAAGTGAAGGCTTACGTAACGGATGGACTTCGGGTGGGTAATGATGATGCACCAATGTCAGCTCATAAATTATAACAACTGTACCACTCGGAAGGGAAATGTCGAGAATAGGGACAGTTATGTATGTATGGAATTACAAAAGAACTCTCTAGCTTCTTTTCAGCTTTGCTGTGAACCAAAAATTTTCCCAAAACATTTAATAAAAAAAAAAGTTCAGGGATCAACAGTGTGGCACAGTCGGTTAAGCCACACTGCCGGCAATGCCAGCATCCCATATGAGCACTCATTCCAGTCCTGGCTACGGCACTTCCAATACAGCTCCGAGTTAATGTACCTGGGAAAGCAGTGGAAGGTGGCCGAGTGCTTGAGCCTGAGCCGTCCATGGGGGAAACCTGCATAGAATTCCACTTTCAGCCATTTGGGGAGAGAACCAGAAAAGGGGTAGAGACCTCTCTACCCCTTTCTCTTTGTAACTGCCTTTCAAATAAATAAACCTTAAAAATGCTAGATACTAAATATGCTGCATTATTACTTTGTGAGTTTTCCTGTCTCTTCACTTCATCTTCCTTACTTACACTCAGATTTAGAATTCCAGACCAGTATCTCAGATCCTGTTTTCGATGGACTCTGAAGCATTTATAACTGTCAAGATCGATCTTCACAAATTTAAAATATCCAAGACTAAACTGCACTTTTCCTTATTCCCTACCAATTTCCAGTACCTGCGATTGAAACTTGGAAATTACATCAGACTCTGAAATCACTAGTCCCATTAATTCTTTTGTTGAAATGTTTCATTAATACCTTCCTACCTACACAGACTGATGTGTAGGAGGATGACGACAGCAATGACTAACATGTATAATTTCCTTACTAAGTGCCAGGTATTTCTCTAAGACACATTTATGAATTTATTTAATTCTATAGGATTTATTTCTTTTACTTGAAAATCAGAATTACAGAGAGAAGAAGAGACAAAGATCTTCTCTGGTTCACTCCCCAAATAGATACTACCACCAGAACTGGGCTGGTCTGAAGCCAGTAGCCAAGAGTTTCTTTCTGGTCAGATGGGTGCAGGAACCCAAGGACTTGGGCTGTACAGGACATTAGCAAAGCGCTGGATCAGAAGTGGAACAGCCAGGACCAGAACCAGAGCCCATATGGGATGCTGACGCCACAGGCAGGATTAGCCTGTTATTCCACCTCACTGGCCCCTATTTAATTCTTATGTCTAACCCCCATTTTAAGGATAAAGATATTAAAACACAGAAAAATGATAGAACTTGCTCTGATTTATACTATTAGTAACTGGCAAAGCTGGCATTCAAAATTAGGCAATGTGGCACCAAAGTCCTCACTCTTAGCAAGGATTGCACACCACCTCTGTGCACTGGACCGCCTCTCAACAGCAGAGAGACAGAAACTTCCCGAGTACTGCAATCCTCCGGCTTCCAGGCCTAGCGAATCTCCATCAAAGTCAACAGTCCAGGAAACCACCCAGATGGGAAGGGATTAGTCCTCGCAGCATGTCATCACTCTGCTCAGATCCTCAAACTCTCCGCATACTCCAGGTCACTACCTCCAACATTCCCAGCTACTGGGGGCACCAATACCCCTCCCATGACCACAGACAGGAAAAAACAGGCTGTTTCCCTAGAGTCAACAAATATATGATAATACATGTTCAAAAACAGTTTTTACAATATGTAAGGAAAAACAAAAAACAAAGGAAACAAGGAAAAATGAAAAACAAAAATTCCACAATTTTTGTTTATTTAGAAACGAATCAATTAACCTAGTACAAGCTGATGATCCTACTAGCTTAACAACCCTCTCTGGCTATCTCTAGGTAGCCTACAGGATACTTGACAATATCCTAGAATCTGTGCCTTGAGTTAACTCTTTAGTTTGTTTTGTATCCAGGTCTAGTGGGCTCTGTATTTCAATCAGGATAGCCAAAATCGTATTTGCAGGTACATCACCTCCCATTTTCCTCTCTAGCCCATAGTGAAATATTTCTCAAAATCATTCTAGTTTATTCTCCATTTCCACATATGGCCCCTTAAGATTATCCACACCACTGTTGCTCAGTCTCAGCACTACTCACACTTGGGGAGGACAGCTCTTTCCAAGGATTGGTTTGTGCATTGTATTCAGTTGTGACCTCCAACTGAAAACCACTGTCAGGCCCAGCACTGTAGCCTCATCGCTAAAGTCCTCGCCTTGCATGCGTCAGGATCCCATATGGTCACCAGTTCTAATCCTAGCAGCCCCAGTTCCCATGCGGCTCCCAGCTTGTGGCCTGGGAAAGCATCAAGGACAGTCCAAAGCCTTGGGACCCTGTACCCATATGGGAGACACAGAAGAAGCCCCTGGTTCCTCGCTTTGGATCTAGCCATTGCAGCCACTTGGGAAGTTACCTTTCTGTCTCTCCTCCTCTCTGTATATCTGACTTTCTAATTAAAACAAACAAAAAAAACTTAAAAAAAGAAAACCACTACCCTGGAGCTGGGTCATGGTACATCAGGTTAAGCTAATGTTTGCCACATCAGCATCCCATATCGTTCAAGTCCAAGCTGTTCCCCTTCCAATTCAGCTCCAAGCTAATATATCTGGGAAGGCAGTGGACCTCGGTGGAGTTCTAGGTTCCTGGCATTGGCCTGGGCCAGTCTGGGCCATAACATCAATTTAGGCAGTGAACCAAGAGACAAAAAGTATCTCATTTCTTTCTCTAACTCTCTTTCTGTCCCTGACCCTCTCTTTGTCTTTCTTATCTCTTTCCATGTCCCTGCCCACTGAATTCACTTGTAAATCTTAAACAAAAAAAAAAAAGGAAAGGCGGCAAGGCAGACACTGCCTTAATGATTCTCAAAGCCAGATGCTAGGACCAGTAACCAGTAGCATCATTATTCAGAGGAACTCTCTAAAAATGTAGTTCTCAGCCCCTACCCTTAATCTACTGAATTGGAATTTCCATGGAAAGAACTCTATAATCTCTGCACTAACAAATTTTCCAGATGGCTCTAATGGAAGATAAAGTTTGAGCACCATTGATCTAAACTTTAAGGCCATCCCTTCCTTACAGAGTGATGGCAACTCTGCTGCTTTTCCACGTCTCCATGATATTGGACCTCTTGCTCCTGATCCTCTTCTCGCAATTCTGTTTGATTCCTCTATAATCTCTTCCCCAGTTGAGTTGTCAAGGCTGCTTTTTACTGGAAAATCTTGACTTCTCCACTTGGCAATTTAGGCTGGTATTGCTACCAAGTCTATAGCCTAAAAGGATAAGAATCATCTTTCTCTATAATCAAAGAGCCAGAAAGAGACCCTCCAAACCTAAATAACCCTCTATGTCCCTGTCTCTCAAATCCTGTTTTCTGCCCAGCTCTATTGCCCCTGGCTATGGGATAGAAGTCATGACAGACAGGTCCTGGAATCAGAGCATCAATAATGCTTCCTGGCTTTGATAACCAACTCTGCGTCCCCAGGTTCTTGAGGATAAGTTACTCCTCAAGCACCCTACATGAAAGAAATCTTGTAGAATTGTTTCCGGTAATTTTCAACATAAGCTGCTTTAAACACGATTCCCTTTAGAATGTCTAAGGAAACTGGCAATCACTTGACACGGTGGTTAAAACGCTGCTTGGAATGTCCAGTCCACATCCTGGCTCTGTTTCCAACTCCAATGTCTTGCTAATGCCCATCCTGTGAGCAGCAGACAAGTGCTTGAGTCTCTGCTACTACCTGGGAGACCTTGATTCAGTTGTTGTGGCCCTGGCTTTGCCCAGATACTATGAGCATTCACAGAATAAACCAGCAGGTGAAAAGTTCTCTCTCTCTCTCTCTCTCTGTGTGTTTTGTCACTTTCATTTCTATCTCTTTCCAGCACCACTTTTCCAATAAAATACAAATGACTGCATAAAATTTTCTTAAAACGGGGTAATCAGCGTAGCACAGGGCCTTAGGCTGGGCTTGAGACACCAACATTTCACACAGGAGTTGCTGTTTAAGTCCTGGTTACTCTACTTCTGCTCCAGTTCCATACTAACATAACTGGGAGGTAACGGGGACAGCCCAAGTACTTGGGCTCCTGCCTCTCCTAAGACAGACCTGGAAGGAGTTCCTGCTCCTTGGCTTCGGCCTGGCCTATCCACAGCTATTGTGGTCATTAGGGAGTAAAGCAGAGAATAGAAGATCTCTGGTTCTCAGTCACTTTGCATCTCAAATAAGCAAATGAATCTTTAAAAGAAAATAAAAAGGAATGTCTAAGAACAATGTGATCAGACGCCACATAACTAACCATAATAATCCACTGTCAGAACCAACCCCCAGGGCCTGGCACAGTGGCTAAATCCTAGTGTTGCATACACCAAGATCCCATATGGATACTGGTTCACGTTCTAGCTGCTCCACTTCCTATCCAGCTCTCTGCTTGTGGCCTGGGAAAGCAGTTGAGGACAGCACAAAGTCTTAGGACCCTGCACCTGAATGGGAGACCCAGAAGAAGCTCCTGGCTCCTGGTTTCGGATCAGCTCAGCTCTGGCCATTGCAGCCACTTGGGGAGTAAACGAGCTGATGGAAGATCTTTCTATCTATGTCTCCTCTGTGAATCTGCCTTTCCAATAAAAGTAAATAAATCTTAAAAAAGAAAAAAGAAAAAAAAAAAAGAACCAACCCCAGGCCTTATTTTTTCTTGCTCAGAAATTGCCGTTGGATAAGCAAAATCAGCAAATCGAAATACCAGTGTTTCAGTTAAGCTTTTCGACTTTTCCCTGGAACTGATGGGGCAGAACATCTCAAAACTAGATTTCAGTTCGATTCAATTCTAGCTAGACCACTCAGGAGCTGCGTGATCTGGGACAAGTCACTAAGCTTCTCTGAGTGCCCATTTCCTGATCTATACAATGTAAACAACAAATATAGTATTGCTGTTAGGATCACTGAAATAAGCTGCCTAAGCTTCTGGCTTATCACATAAAGATAATCTTTACAAGAAGCTTTTTGAAAGTAAATTATTTGGGGGCTTTGCTACCATTGACTCATCCCTAGAATATTCCCCAGAGCAGGGACCAGGTGTTTACAGGCCTTGGGGCTACGCCTGGTAAGATAAAGCAGCGGCATAGGTCACCCAGAGTCCCTACTCAGGGATGCAGGGCTGAGCAAGAAAGGTGCCTTTCCTGGCAGCAGCCCCCATCCCCACCCACCCTCACGCATGTCCTGCAGCTGCACGGTCGCTGCCCCAGCCCTCCTAGATCAGGGAATGCGTTCTGTAGCTCCAAGTATGTCTCTCGCCAGCTAAATGAGGCTAAATGATCTCAAAAGTCCCTTTCATAACTAAAACTCTAAAAAAAGAATCATCGAAAACATCATCAGGATCCAAGCTTACTGCGTATCAATCCTGAGTGAATACATTAAGCAACTGCAGCACGAACGTAAGTCACCAAAAAAAAAAAAAACACACACACAAAATGTGTTTCTGCCCAGGAACAGCACGCCTGCAAAGGTGTGCTTGCATGTACCGGTGTCTATAGTGTCATTAACGCCTCTCCCGCATCTGACTTCTCACCAACCGTTCCTGTTTCCATGGTAACAGCCCTTCCAATTGTCAGGGGCCTGCTGAACACACACAGAGAAACACTCTATCCTTTCTCCTCCTCTCTCTCTCCTACCCAAGGAAGCCACAGAGAAACAAAATCCACAGGAAATACAATGCAAACAGGTTCAGGGTGGGCACAGGCCTCTTTCCCTCCGGTACCTCCCAAACTGCACCCCCCGTGAGGCAGGTTCCTTCAGTTCCATCTACCCTCTCAAGTGTCAATCTCTAAGTCCTCGCGGTGAACTCACCATGTTGGAAATGCTGCGGGTGTTGGCAGGGTTCAGCATGACAATCTCAGTGGTAATGTGGCCCTCCACGGCCTCGGTCATCTCGTCCACTGTGCAGTTAATGGACGGGTCATAGATCTTGAACCAGTTGTCGGCATACCACCCAATGAGGAACCAGACATACTTCTTCCCAAACAGACGCTCCTTGTATACCTGAAGAGCATACAAGCAGAGGAGGGGGTGATGTGGTTTGGTTCACTTTGGTTTGCTTTTTCACTCTTATCTCAAATGACACTAGTCAGCTTTTTGGGAAATAGATAAATAATCTGTATGTCTTAGGAGTAACAGGAAAGACACAAGTCCTTCTACTTCGTTCTTTCCCAGCCTCTCTGTTCTTCACTTAGTTTCTTGTAGCCAGCCAAGGAAGACGGGACTTGTGGGCTCCACAAGAAATAAGAAAAGAGAGGAAAAGGAGATCTGGAGAAAGTTCTGTGTGTGTGTGTGTGTGTGTGTGTGTGTGTGTGTGTGTAGAGATGAAACTCAGAGCCAAAAGACATTCATCATCACTTCAAAACGTTGGTTAGCAACTTGAGCAGACCTGCAGCGAGGAGATCCCCAGGAGAAAAATCAAAGCAGAAAGCCCACCCAGACACCCTCCCTCTTCAGCTTCCATCTCCACCTCACAAAAAACTTTCCGGGCTTCTGTCTCGTAGAAGAGTCCCACGATGATTCTGGCATCCTGGCGCTGCAGAACAGAGAGAGAGAGAGAGCTCCTGAGGGACTCCAGGGAACGCCGGAGGGGCTAAGCCAGGCGCTTACACAGCTCTGATTCCCATCCCAAAGTGCTTAGTGCAGAGTAACGCTCAACAGTGGGGGATAAACGTCAACCAGAAGACAGCGCTCGCCTTCCCCAGCGAGATGCCACTGCTTCCCAGCCACACAGTCTGCCCCAGCCCATGCTCTCCAACCAGCCGGCAGTCCCTTGCCCAGCCCTTTTCGAGGCTGAGCCCACCACTCTGACCAGCCCACCTTGAGGTTTTTGACAGGCACAGCAGGATCTGAGAAGAAGCTCTGGCGGAAAGTAATCTCAATTCCGGCCTCCTTCACTCGCTCCTCCAGGTCGTCCAGAGTCTTGGGTGTGAGGGAGAAGCAGTATGAAAAACATGGGATGCATGTCAAGTCCCAACCAGAGGTGTTCACTAGAGACTGCACACTCAGGACAAAAGGCCAGTCTTCTATTCTCAAAGTGAGGACAGCAGGAAAAAGCAGCCGGTCTTAGGTCTGGCTTCCAGGTTAAAAGGTGTGTCATAAGCCCTGCCTGAGCCTCTATATCTAGGCAAACCACCCCAGTCACCCCACTCCTACCATGAGCCCATCTCCTATACTGAGAGGCAAACACCAAACAACCAGGAAAAGACAAGGCAGGGTCTGGTCATACACTGGGATAATAATGTCAGCCCCCAAGAGGCAGTGGGCAGCTGGACAAGAGAATGAGAGAATAGGCCTGAATCACTGTGAAAAGCAGGGAGAGGGTGCTCAAAGGCACTGAACAAAAGAGTAGATCAAATAAAAAGGAGGGAGTGGGCCACCTGCGCCAGCTGTATCAGCAGAGCTGTGGTCTCCCTCGCCACCTCCACACCGCCCTTCCTCCCTCAAGCTCTCCTTTGTCTGCTGGCATCTCTCATTGCCAACCACCAGATTCATGCTCTTGCTGCCTGCCTCTTTTCTTTCTCTCTCTCTCATCTTCTCATACCTCTTCTTCTGTTCACTCTCTTGGTCTCACTTCTTCAGATAAAGCCCAGGCCTTTCCCCCAGTAATGAATCCTGGGCAATGTCTCTCTCCAGAGGGGTTTCAGCAGGTGCCCCCACTGCCCTCCTCACCGAGGTGAAGACCTCTGTGGTCTGCTGGATGGTGGCAATCTTCTTCCAGCCCCACTTCTCAAAAAGCTTCACTCGGGTAGGATTGTGGAGCGTGGCTGATGGATGTGTCCGGAAGAACGTGGGAAAACGCTGCCGGTTGGACAGGGCTGGCGAGCTGGAGCCGTAGGAGAGCTGAGAGAAGCAGGGATGGTACAACAGGTCCGCTTACCTGACCCCACTGAGAGTACTTCAACCCTCTTCCTGCCCCCTGGCTTTCTCTCCCCAACCTAAGCTCCCACCTATCCCCTCAGAAAAATGACTGTCAAGGCCCACAGGGCCCCTCGTTCATGATGAAGAGTGAGCTGTTGTTGCTAGGAGGCCCGCCGGCTCAGGTCGCCCAAGGACTCTTGGCAGTGAGTCCTCCATGGCCCTCTTCAATACAGACCTGAACTCCCCTGCTCGCTTCATACAGCCCACACGGGGAAGAACATCTCCGTCGCCATGTCCTGAGCCACCCAGCCCGGCTTACCACAATCAGGTTCCACATCCGGGCGGCCTCAGCCACAAGTGTGGAGACGGAGCTGCAGCCGGGCATCAGGATGATCTTGATGGGGTCGTTATAGAGCAGCTCATACAGGTACTTGGTGGCTTGGCCTGGGTCACACTGAGTGGGAAGGGAGAGGAGGGCAGGCTCTTCCGGGACCTGTTCCCTTCTCACAGCTCCCACCCTGCCATCTTTCTCTAGCTCCTCGCATTCATTACTACTGCCATCTTCCCCCTCCTGCCATCTCTTCCTGTCAAGTTGCTGTTTCTCTTCTTTCACCAAAATCTCCCTTCTCTGTCTTCCATCTGGCCTTATCTGTATCCTCTTGAGCCCAGCCCCTCCCATCTGTGCCAATGCATTTCTGGCCTTCCCTCCTTGCAGCTCATCCTCCCTCATCGCCACACACATTTCCCCTGTCACCCATGCCCTCTGTGCTGCAGTCAGTTGAAGCGAATAAAGAATTCGCAGGAAGGAGAAGCACACCCCAAGCCCACCAGAAGACTTCCTCAAAGCCCGCCCTTTACTGCAAACTGCCTCTTCCCACCTTCCAAGGTTTCCCCACCCACCCCCATATCTCTTTTCAGGGCGACTGATAAGTAAACAAGGGAGAACAGGGACAAGACCAGTGGGGGTCCGGCGCAGCAGCCCGTCCCCTCCTGCTGGGCTCTGACATTTGATGGGTCTATTAGAAAGGGCAAGAAAAACAAAAGACTTTCAGGATGAACCTGGGCAACCAGCTAGGATGAGAACAAACAGGGGATGCTCAAGAAGCCACAGGGGTCCAGGAGTTCCTGAAAATGAGGCTAAGAGCTGGGGGAAAGTAAACAACCCAGCAGTGGTGAAAGTAAAGCTGGGAGAAGGGGAGTTGAGAGAAGAGTCAGCCTTGGGTCTACCCCGGCCCTTTTCCCTCCTGCAGAGGTGTGACATTTCCAAAGCTGCTGGAGCCACCAAAGGAAGTACAGGAGAAATGGCAGCTGGTGGGGAGCCAGGGCAGAGGGGACAGAGGCAGGAGGCAGGAGGGGACTGGTGAGGAGCTCACCCGCAGAAGAAAATAAAGAAGGCTCCCCAGAGCCTGTTCACTTCCTGCTGAGCCTGACATTTGGGACACCGTGGGACGCTGGAGAAGGGGAGCCAGGGAAAGCTGGCAGAACCGGAAGAACCAATCCTCACCCACCCCTCTGTGCTGCCTACCTCCCCCTCCCCCCTGCCAGGGCACTGCTCAGACACAGTGCTGTGAAGGTTCTCTCTTCCCACCTTTGCCATTCTCAAGGCCCACCTTCCCGCATTCACCCCAGGGCCTCTTACTCCAGATCCAGTCTTCAACCTTTCCCAAGGCCCCAGAGTAGTGTCCCTCTACGTCTCAAGAAAAGCTTACTGGGAACACAAGGACATGCACAACATAACACATCCACAAACCAGGGCCCTGGGTGCTGCCCCATTCCTGTTTCCTTCTCTTACAAGTCTTCTCTCCCTGCCAAGCCCTGCAGGTTCCCTCTCTAAGTGCTTCCCCATCCTCCCTCCCCAACAAACTGCTCTGCCCTCCTCTAACAAAGATCTGGATACGCAGGCAAGAAAGACACACATGCCAATCCCTCCTATGCCCTTTCTGCCTCTGCTACCTCCTCCTCCGGCTGCATTCTCCTAGGCCCCCATCTGCTCCCCATCACCTCCAGGGAATCAACTGTCATCAGGCATCATGAGTTTCAGCTCACAGATCTCCCTACAATTCGCCATCTCTCCCCCTTCCCAAGCCCCACAGACAACTGTCTGTCTTGCACTCCCAAGCTTGGTCCCTCCAACAGACCTGGTCCCCGGTGTGCTCCCTCCTCTCCTACCCTAATCCTGAGTTCTCTCCTGCTCCCTGCTGCTGTCCTTAGGCATCCCAGGGCAGGATTTGTGTCATCCCTGTCCAAGGAGCACAAATCTGTATTTCTAACGAACTCCTCTAAGGATTCTAGGTACACTCAAGTTTGAGAAGCTCACAGAGGGATTAGGAGTTCTCTCCCCAGGCTCCCTGGACCAGCCATGTGCTGGCTTCTCCCCAGGCACCTTACCTTCAGCTCCACTCTGCCTCTCCTCACTCATATACTCCTCAGGTGCAAACTGGTGCTTAATAGAAGGACTGTAAGTCCTATGCCCAGATGTGAGGTCACCAAATCCTCACCTCTGTACTTCACTGCCTCTCTAAATCTGGGACAACATGTCCACAAAGACAAATGGGGGAGAGGGGGTTCCAGATCTGTTTCCATCCCCATCACATCCTTCCCCATGCCTTCAATAATACTAAAGGGGAAGGGGAAGGGAAAGGAAGGAGCTAAAACTACTCCCCCTTCCATCCCTGGGCCTCTCCATCCCGAACCCTGCACCCACATCCTAAAGGTAGCACTGCTGTAAGGGAAGTTAAAGTCGAAGGCTGAGTTCCACAGGACCAAGCCCAGATCCCACAGGATGCCCAGGACCTTGCTGCCCTCCTCCCTTCTTCACTCCTTTCTGCTTGTCTTCACACACCCTGACTCCTCTCCCGCCCCCGTGCTATTGTGGAGGGCTCTTCTGCAAATCCCCCTAATCCAATTCACTTCCCAGGGGCTCCGACCCCTTACACACACACAACACACACCACACACACAGAGGCCATCAGTTCACACAGCCCTGGAATCCTCCACCACCCAATGATGGAGAGGAGTCAGCTGTGTGTTGTGACAAACTAGAACTCTGAGGTCCCTCCACCTTCTCCTCATTCTGGCCCCATTCCTTCCAGCCTCAACCCACGCCCAGTATTTAACTTGTTACCATGGTGAAAGTAAACCCCTGATCCCCAGCTCCCCACCTCTGACATTGCTTCCACCCACCCAACCCTTCCAGGCTGAGTTTCCGACCCCCAGAAAACCAAGATCAGCTCGTACCCTAAAGCCATCAGCCACCGTCCCCCAGCGCCAGCATCCCCACGGGCCTCCCTCCCGCAGCCAGGCCTAGGCTCGCCCATCCCAAGCCCCTAGACCCTCATCTTGAACCTGCAAGCCCCCTCGACGCTCCGCTCCTCTGGCTCCCGCAGCCCAAGCCAAGCTCGCAGGGGAGGGGTTTGCTTCGCCGTCCCAGGGGCACCAGGACAGAGGTGCGCTCCGCTGTCCCCCGACCTCCATCCGCTCCCCAGCCCCACGATCCAGGCCCACCCACCCACCCAGCCCCGTGTCCCGGGCTACCTTGCTGTCGTGGTGGATGAGCTTGAGCTCATAGTCCGGCAGGATGTCTCTGCGGCTATTCACGTCCTCCAACGCCATCTCCACCGCAGGCTGGCAGGCCTGGCCCCCAGGCCAACCCCCGCTCATGGGGAACAGCGCCCCGATGTACACTGCGCGCCGTTCTGAGGAGGGGTGCGAGGGGACCCGCGGGTGAGGCCGCGGGAGATGGGGCGAGTGGGAGGCCCACGCCGGAGCCACCCCCGCCGCCATCACCACCAGAAGCGGCAGTGGCCACCCCAGCCGCCGAGAGGGGGCCCCGGGACCCATGGCGAGGAGGGGACGGGGGTGGCAGCCGGGGCGCGGCGGGCGGCGCTCAGGGGGGACACTTTTCCTGAGCAGGGCAGCGGAGGGGGTGTCGGGGAGGCGCCTCCATCGCGGGTTTGGTGCGGAAGACGGGGCTGGGGCCCCCGGGGAAGCAGGCAAGGTTGGTTTCCTCCAGCCCCCGCGGCTCTCGCTCCCGCCACCGCGGACTCTCCTCGCGGACTGACTGACCGACCGACAGAGGGGAGGAGGAGGAGGAGGAAGGCGGGGCGGGCAGGGGAGGGGGCCCTGACGTCACGGGCGGCGCGCGGCCGCGGGGGGCGGGCCGGCGGGGAAGGGGGTGCAGGGGGCGGGGGAGGGAAAGGGCGCAGCCGGGTGGGCCAGAGCGACGCGCCCCGGAGCCGGAGAGGGGTCCCTCCCAGGGGCAGGGGCGCGCCACAAGGGAGTCGCGCGTGAAGGGGAAAGGACAGGGGATGGGGAACGAGGTCTGAGGTGGGCAGGGGAGAGGGGGGCGTAGTGAGGGGACTGGAGAAGGGGAAAGAGAGGGGAACGGCCGAGCAGAGTTGGGAAAGGGGCGCACGGATGAAGCGGCAGACGGTGGGGCTGCAGGACGGGAATCGGGGGCTGGGGCGCCAGAAGACTGCGCTGGAAGATGCAACTGAGCTCAGAGAGAGGGGACGGGGTCTGAGGCAGCAAGGCGAAGGGCGAGCGCTGAGGTGGGTGGGACGGGGCCGTCTCAGGAGGGAGGCAGGCCAAGGCCGGGCCAAGCGTCCTGAGAGGGTCCGAGGAACCGGGGGCGCAGGGCCCGGGGGTCCCCAGCACGCGGCCGCCCCCTGCCGGGGCTCTGCGGCTGCGAGGGGCGGCGCCGCGGGAAGTGCAGCCAAGCAGGGAGCTGGGAGGGAGCGCGGCCCCGCGGAGAACCGGGACCGGAGGCAGGAAACAGGTAGGGGGTGACCGCACACGGGGCTGGAGGGCGAGGAGGGAGAGAGGGAGGGACGGAGAACGACCCCCCACCCCGGTAACCTAGGGGCCGAATCCCTGGGAGTGCAGGTGAGAAGTGAAGGGTCAGGGCGTTGCAGTGCACGCGCCGAGGGGTCGTGATCTCACCTGAGTGTGGCGTTCGGTTCACTGGCAGCAGGAGAGACGGGGATCAGAGAAGAGTTACCACGGACGCCCAGCTTCCCTGGCCTGATCCCCTGCCCCCTCCCACACCTGTCCGTGCCGAAGGCTGGGAGGGCAGAAGCCTGCGATTCAGAGGAGGGAGGGTGCGTGGGGATAAGAGCCAGGTAGGGCAAGAGGGAAGGGGGGCCTAAACGTGCTGTGCTGCTTTTATTTTTCCATTTGAGACAGGAATGCCAACAGTTAAGGCAGGGGCAGATCCTGGTTTTGTGGGAGCCTGAATATTCTAAGATTTGAGGGTTGCTCTTTAAGAAAAAAAAAAAATCACAATTGGCTTCAACTAATCGTTTAAAAAAATGTTATTTTTTCAATTTTGACAATGACCATGTGAAAATATTCTTGGGACCTTCCTTGGTTCTGAAGGCTCAGGAAGAGGGTCCTAAGGAAAGGGGTCCTGAAGCTTCAGTCTAATGAGCTTTACAATAAATCCACCCATGGGTGGGACTCCTGGCTTTCAGAATGGACTGGTATTCTAGAAGCAGAATAACTGAGTTACACCAGGAAAGGAAGACCCATGATCTTAAAAGAATCTACAAGGGTGGAAGATGCAGGAGGCATAGGAACAGGATGCCTGCATGCCAGTAAAGCTAGATAGGCAGATGCTTTCAGAACTAGATGAAAAAAAAAAAAAGTGCAGACCAGCACCTAGTCCCTTGGGGAGCGATGGAAGTTTACTGGGGGCACAAAAAAGGTAAGTCCTCGCCCATCTTCCCCCCACCCCTGGCTGTCCTTAGCGTTCTGGTCATTGTGCCCCCATTGCGAAGTCATTTTACCCTGTACATTTCCACTCCCAGATCTCCCCTTATCCATTTTTTCTAAATGCAATGTATAATTTATTTCTGAATTTTTACAGTTATTCAATGATCTCATGAAGGTGAGGGGTCAGTTCTAGAAGAAGGTAACCGAAATCTGTAAGTTTATCAAAAGAGAATGAATCTGGAGATGACAGGGGCTTTTGAAAAGCCTTAGGAAGGGGAGGAAGGGATAAGATTCATGAAGAAAAAGGAAATGTAAAGGCCCAAGAACCAGGAGCAGGCAGAAGAAAGATAAAGGAAAACCCCAGGTGGGTAAAAAGGGAACCCTTGGGTTTTCACCTGGAGCTCTCCAAGGTCCTCCCCACATTTTATGCACCCCCCTCCTCTCCCACCAGCCATCCCACCCCACTCCCATCCTCGCGCAAGCGTCCTTATCAGCTGCATGGGGGCAGCTGTTCCCCTCACCCTGGCAGTGGGGCTTGGGGGTGCTCCACTGGCCCTGACTACAGATGCTGCGGGAGCTGCCCACCAGGTGGAAGTCGGGGTCACAGCGGAAATCCACCCGGGCTCCATCCAGAGCTGGGAGGTCCCCACCCGTCAGGAAAACCTTCCCATTTTCGAGGCTCAAGTAAGACTTGGAGCAGATTCGGACTGTGGAGAAGAAATAGGAAAATAAGGAGAAAGGCAAGTTGGAAAAGGCTCCTTCACCAGACACTGGGGGCTCAGGTTTGAATTTGGGTGCATAGCTTCCGGCTCTACAGAAATGAGGTACAAAGCATGCTCAGGCCTCTGCCTTGGGCCCCTCCTTCCCCTAAACCTGCTATAGGCACACAGTGCCAACACAGGAAAAGCAAGCACTTCCTTCGTTGGAACCCAAGATGGAGCTATAAGCCCGTAAAATGGGACCTCTTCCACCTCAGCCACTGGGGGCGGTTCTCTGGCTTTGAAATGTGTAGAGGCTCATAACTTTGGAGGCGCGACCCAATCTGCTTTTCTTATTATGATCAGCTTATGTTACTATTAAGCTTGCTTTTGTTTCCTGGGTGTACAGTCATGGAGTTGGAAAGAGAGGGATCCAGCAACATGATGAAGTCATTTCATAATTCTTAGGCAAAACCTGCTAGTGGTGATCCTTCGAAAGAGTAACTCACAGGATGAACAGTGAACGTGACTGTGTCCCCAGCGTCCTGATGAGGGGAGGGGGACATGAAATGTACTAGCCTCTCTACCTCCACGGCACGCAGGAGTAGTTGCCTATTTGTGAATGAGGTGACCCTGGGTACGAAGTGCGTACTTGCAAGTGGCAGTGCTGAGTTTGGGGCAGGAGGAGGGGCAGGGGGCTTCCCGAGGCTACTCACCACAGCGGCTGGGTGTGTCCATGTCTGTCCAGGAGCCGTTGGCCAGGCACTTGCGCACCTTGGGCCCCACCACCTCACGCTCCCCCCGGCACACATATTCAATCTCATAGTCCACGGGTAGGAAGTTGATAGCCTTCACCTGGTCCCGAGTCAGGCCCCGGTACCTGATGCCCCCTTCCCAGGGCGGGTGTATGATCTGGCAACCTGGGGGTGAGTCGGGGAGGCACAAAGAGAGGAATGGTGGGAAAGAGAAAGCCGGCCCCCGCGGCTGAGGGTAGGGCGTGGTCAAGGGGCAGGAAAGGGGGTACCAGCCTGGGAAGGGGCAAGGGCTGATAGGCCCCGGGCTGGAAGGCAGGGTCCCCAGGAGTGGGCAGGAAGGGGCGTGCTGGATGGGGATAATGAAGTAATTTAGCGGTAGTGAAGGGTAAGGCAGGTGGGTGGAGCTTGGCCAAAGAAAAGAAAAAGCTAAAGGATCCTTAAGTTAATAGGGGTACCCTGTAGGACTATCTGAACAACAAAGTAAGGACTCGGCAATAAAGAGGAATTGGGGTAGGAATGTGGAGCCGGGAGAAGGCGGTGGGGTGACCGAGCAGAGCGAGGGTCCCAGGCAGGTGGAGCCGTGCAGTGATGTGGGCAGAGACCGGATGCTGGAGAGTGTTGTGGGGTGATCGCAGGGAGGTCGGGAGGGTATGGCGGGTCGGGCGGCAGCGGATGCTGGACAGGGCTGCTGTGGAGGGCTGACAGGACAGTGACGAGTGCGGTGCGAAGGGAGCCGGAATGGGATGGAGGAGGGCCCGAGGTAGGCGAAGAAGAGGGCACCTTCGGAGGTGGCGTTGGGGGTCTGCGCCCCGCCCGCGCCCGGGGGGCGGAGGAAGAGAGGCGCCAGCAGCAGTAGCAGCAACAGCAGCATCTGAGTGAGAGGCGGCCGTGAGGACCGCACCGAGCTCCGCCCGGACCCAGGAGCGGCCTGGCCTCCCCTTCCGCACCCCACCCCACCCCACCTCCGCTCCGGTGGCCTCGCGGGGCTCCGACCCCGCTCCGCCCTGGGACCGGGAACGCGCCCCGCGGAGGAGGCGGGGGCGGAGCCCCGCGTGGGGTGGGGGGAGAGGAGGAGAGAACGCCTGTCCCCACCCTCCTCCTGCCTCCCTCGGCCCCCCACCCTCCCGGGACTCCACCTCTCACCACCTCCTCTCCCCGGCCCCCGCGGCTTGCCCGAGCCCGGCTTACCCACGCTGCCGGCTGCCGGCATCAGCCGCCTCATCGCTCCCCAAACGCATCCCCGGCGTTCCTCCTTTCCCCCGGCCTCCCGGCTCCCCGGCCCGGCCCTGCGCCCGCCGGCGCGCCCTACCCCCGCGCGCCCCTCTCCGAGCCCTGCTTCGCTGGGCCCTGGCTCTTACCTCGGCGCGCCGGCCCGGCTCCCCGGCTCTCCCCCGGCCTCAAGGCCCCAGGCCCGGCCGCTCCTCCCCACCCTCCCCTCCTCTCTCCTCCACCTTCTCCTTCCTCCAGGCCCTCTTCCCCTGGAATCCGGGCTCCTGCCCGGCCAGGGTCTCTCCCCTCCTCTCCGGCTTCCCCCAAACCCCACCCCCGTCTCTCCTTCCCCGGGGCGGCGGCGGTGGCCGCGGGAACGGGGAGCCGGGAGGGAAGGAGGCGGCGCCGGGGACCGGGGAAAGCTCCCGGGCGGAGGGAAGGAGGAGGGTGCAGGGGAAGACAGGGCGGGGGGAAGAGAGGGGAGACCGGGGAGAGGGCGCCTCCCACAACCCGAGCCCCGGGAGCCGCCCCGGATCCCGGCCCCGCCCTGGACCGCCCACAGCGCACGGGGCGGGCGGCGGAGAGGCGCACCGGGCCGCGAGGCGGGAGAGCCAGCCCCGGTGCACACGCACATCCCGGCGGGGGCCAGGCACCTGCGAGGGGCCCCAAGCCAAAGGCAGAGAGGAGCTGGCGCTGAGCCCGAGAGGCTGGGATGGAGGTGGAGAAAGACGGTTGCACTGAGAGGAGGGAGCACTGGAGCTGGGAGAGAATGGAGGCAGATCTCGAGGCCAGCAGGAGAGAAAGGAGACGCCAGGGTCAGAAGGGGAGAGGAGACTGGAATGGGAGTGGGGGTGGTGCACCTGAGCCATTCAAGAGCGAGAGGTTGGGTGCTGGGGTTGGGGGGCGCGGAGAGCACCCTGATAGTCGAGGCGCTAGCTCCCTCTTGCCTGCTGTGTGAAGCGAGCGCAGAGTGGATGGGAACGGGTCCATACAGGAGAGACACTGAGGTAGAAGAAAAAAAGGTGGACGTGGAGGAATGCCAGATGGGCAGGAGCCAGTTAGATCTGGACCTGAAGAAACCTATGTTAACGAAAGGCCAATTGCAAACTCTGAGGACAGTAGGGGAAGTGCAGGCCTTTGGACAGCTCCGGACTGGCCCAGGCCATTGTCTGCAGCCAAGGGGAGGGCAGAAGCTGTGTTCGGTGACAGGCCTGATTGGAGCTGGGAGAGTGGGGAGGGGCTTCGGCTTTCTGACAGGTCTTCAAGAAAAAGGTGGGAAAAGTCCCGAGCTAGTGAGTCTGCCTACAACTCAGGGCCTCTGCCTTCAATCCTTTTCCATAGTAAACCCATCGCCATCCTGAATTGAAATTCACAAATGACACATCGGGAATAATCAAAGAGTTCCTGTCAGGGAAATGAAAGAAAAGGAACTTGTAAGAAAGTAACAAACTATTTTACTGCATGAGTGTCAGAGCGTTACTACGGTAGACGCCGTGTCGGAGTAGGCTGTTTGCACCGATCCATGCTGTCACCGGGAAGGGACCGCTCCCAGCGCGGGCTCACACAGGTGCTGCGCTGTGACTCAGTTACCTCCAGCACATTGCCATCACTGAAGTGATTCAGTGAAATGTGGAACAATTCAATGAAATGTAGCAAAGTGAGTCTTCCCTAAGTGTGTGCAGAACCAAAATTGCATTCCTAGAAAGTCCATTGTGTATTTAGACTATTTTTTTTAATTTATTTATTTTTATTAGAAAGTCAGATACAGACAGAGGAGGAGAGACAGAGGAAAATCTTCCCTCCGTTGATTCACTCCCCAAGTGGCCACAACACCCGGAGCTAGGCCAATTCAAAGTCAGGAACCAGGAGCTTCTTTCAGGTTTCCCACGTGGGTGCAGGATCCCAAGGCGTTGGGTTTTCCTCGATTGCTTTCCTAGACCACAGCAGAGAGCTGGATGGGAAGTGGGGCTCTGGGGATACAAACTGGTGTCCGTGTGGGATCCTGGTTCAAGGCCAGGACTTTAGCCACTAGGCTGCCGCACCGCTTCCATATTTAGACTATTAAAAAAAAAAAACTGTGGTGTTCTAGGCTCAGATAATTAACCACAGGTTTTTGCCTACACTGGTGTCCTAGGGGAATTTTGGAATCTGGATGAGGGACATTCTTTGTGGTTCAGGCTGTGCTCTGAGTATCATTTATACCCCTGCCCTGCCCATGAACATCAGTAGTGCCTAGTTCCATGACTGTCTTAACCAGAAGAGGACCCACAACCTTCCACACTGGGTGTGTGGGGTGAGAGCCACTTAGCTAGAAAATGAGTGGATGAGAGAGAGAGTCAGGATTTCTGATCACTCAAAATCACAGGCCCTCCTCCCCTGTGGCCTGCCCTCTCGGCACAAAGAAATGTGAGTGCAGTAAGGTCATCCACCCCAGGACGGTCATCATGAGGTGGACAGCTGCCCTGCTCTGCTAGGGGCAGAGGGGCTTTCTGACTTTGAGAGCAGGACACAAGCTCATTCACCTGTCAGTCTGGCCACTTACCCTTCCTGGCAAGGCTGTGTGCCCAAGAACATGCTTCCCTGCCCCCAGCGGGGCCCCTCCATGGGAGGTGTCTGAGTAGGTGCTTTCCCAAAGCCCAATCTAACTCCACGATCCCTACTCAACCTTATACCTGAGCACCTACCTCCAGAACAGTGATGACATCGCAACTAAAGGACTGTTCTGTGGCAGTGACATGGAGATGAAATATGAGACTTGGTGGAAAAAAGATATATGCAAAATATGTACAACTGTGGTTAAGTATATGTGTCTAGAGATTGGAAGAAAGCACATCAAAATATTTACAGTGATTTCTTCTGAGCTTTGAATACACCTTTGTCACATTTGTTGTCCAACTTTTGCTCAAATTTTTTGCAGGTGTTACTTTCATAAATAGAGCTTTTTCTAAGCAAGTTAAGCAACTAAACTCAAAATTCAGCTGGCCAGAGTCATTTCAGGAATATGTCACAAGTTCCAACCACACTCACTCCAAAAATTGCACATTGTTGTCCACCACTAGCTGTGACTTCCTTCATCTGTCAATGTCACTGCCAGGAGTTCTGGCTCCTAGTGCTCAGCACGTTGAGACAGTAAGATCCTCCCGCTGCCGCTACTGAGCATTCTACCTGCACCTTCCTAGTCAACCCGCTGCCTTCCTTTTCTTGAATATCAAATGCAGAATTTCTCCCCTTGGGCTGGAGGAGGGGAGCTGATATTGCCGTGCAGCAAATTAACCCACTGCTTAAGACTGCTGGCATCTCCTATCAGAGCAATGGTCTGAGTCCTACGACTCCATTTCTGATCCAGCTTCCCTTTGGTGCCTGAGAATGCAGTAGCCCCTGGCGCCTCCTTGGGAGACCTGGGTCTCGTTCCTGGCTGCTGGCTTCAGCCTGGTCCAGACCTGGCTGCTGTGGACATTGGAGAAGTGTGGAAATGTGCTCTCTCTCTCTCTCTCTCTCTCTCTCTCTCTCTGGGGTGTATGTGTGTGCATGTGTGTCTGTCTGTGAGAAAGAGATTTTGCATTTCAAACAAATAGGTAAATTAAAAAAGAAAAAGACTTCTCACCTTCTAGAAAAGTCCCTCTGGTCCGACCTCATCCTTCCATGCAGTGTGCGCCTTTAGCAAGGCGTTCTTTTGCAGGTTTTGATTTTATTTGTTTATTTTTTAATGGAAATAGTGATGATCCTGCTCAGGTTACCTGAAAAAAAATCTCATTATTTCCTTCCCTCTCTTCCTCTCTCCGAAGTCCTGAAAACTTGGTAACAAAAACTGGTCCTAAGCTAGGTTCCTTCCCTTCAGCAGGTGTCTGATTCTCACGCAGCCACACAAACTTGCTGCTCTTCGCCTCACACTGCAGTCTGTTGGCTGTGATTTAGGGAAAGCAAGGAAGCAAGTCAGAGAACACTTGACTGTCAGGTTCACAGAGCTAATGTCTGAACTCAAGGCCATCAACCCATTTCCAGATTCCTTCTCTTGCGCTCAAGGCTTGGTTCCAAGGTGCTCCTCTCGCCTAAATCCCACCCCAGCGTGTTTTTCATAAAAGGCCAAACTGCTCTCCCTCTGTTCCCCACCCCAAAGGAATAGTGGGCAGCATATGAAGGGAAGGCAGCCATGGCTCATGTTCAAATGAAAAAATCTGTGCATAAGGAGGGGTTTTTAACGCAGAGTTACTGCTGTTTAAAAAGGTGCATGAAGAGCCAGGCATGATCAGCCTAGTGGCTAAATCCTTGCCTTGTATGCACCAGAATCTCACATGATTGCCGGTTCATGTCCCACCTGCTCCACTTCCCATCCAGTTCACTGTTTGTGGCCTGGGAAAGCAGTGGAGGACGGCCCAAGGCCTTGGGACTCTGCACCTGCATGGGAGACCCAGAGGAGGCTCCTAGCCCTTGGCTTTGGATCGGCTCAGCCCTGGCCATTGCAGCCACTTGTGGAGTGAACCAGTGAATAGAAAATCTTTCTGTCTCTCCTTCTCTCTGTGAATCTGCCTTTCCAATAATAAATAAATGAATCTTCAAAAGAAAGAAAAAGAAAAGAACAATGCACGAAACAAAAATTCAAAATTCAAATGTGTTGGTGTAATAACTTAAACCACCACGTGGTTGCCCACATCCACATCAAAGTATCCACTGGGAGTCCTGGCAGTTAACGTCCCTCCTGGGAGGCAGCAGACACAGGCTTAAGGACTGGGGTCCTGCCACCCTACATGGAATGCCAGGTTCCTGACTTCAGCTTGGTCCAGCCATGGTTATCGTCAGGATTATCAACTTTTCCATGTCTCTTTTCCTTTCAAATAAAATAAGCATAAATAGTTTTTTTTAATATTTATTTTATTTTATTTTTATTGGAAAGGCGGATATACAGAGAGGAGAAACAGAGAGGAAGATCTTCCGTCCGATGATTCACTCCCCAAGTGAGCGCAATGGCCGATGCTATGCCAATCCGAAGCCAGGAGACTCTTCCGGGTCTCCCACGCGGGTGCCGTCCTTGACTGCTTTCCCGGGCCACAGGCAGGGAGCCGGATGTGAAGCAGGGCTGCCGGGATTAGAAGCGGCGACCATATGGGATCCTGGGCTTGCAAGGCGAGGACCTTAACCACTGCGCCATCGTGTCAGGCCTGATAGTTATTTTTTTTTTAAGTGAAATTCAAATATATCATTCTTTGCACACTGAGCTTGGTCATACATAACTTGACACCAATTGGTGTCCTGGCTGCTCCACTTCCTATCCAGTTTCTTGGTAATAGCCTGAGACCCAAACACTTGGGCCCCTGCCACCCACATGGGAGACTCAGATAAAGCTCCTAGCTCCTAGTTTCAACCTGACCCACTCCTGGCCAGTCGGGCCATCTAGGGAAATGGATCAGCAGGTAAAAGATCTCTCTCTCTCTCTCTCTCTGTAATTCTTTTAAAATAAATAAATAAATCTTTAAGGAAGAAGGA